CTGGTGGAAGCCGACTACGTCGGGGCTGTGACGCGTCTTTCCAGGAAGATGTTGTGCTTGAGCTGGAAGTCCTATGAGAGACTGAGTAGAGACATTCTGGCTATCGAGAACGACGTCGGTGTCTTCGAGGGGTGATGGAGAAGCCTGCATCGGTTAGAACATGGGTTCCGTGGCTTTGATAATTAAGAGACTTTTGGGGTGGTATGAGCTGGCCAAATGTAGGGTGAAGCTGCAGCGCATTGGCTAGAAGAGCGGCAATGAGCTTATTATTGTTGTTGATCATGTTGAAAACGTCTATTGAATGTGGTAGCGAAACAACTATTGAGATGTGTCTGTGCTGGCAAGAATTCTACTGAAGTCCTTCTCTATGTATATAAGTATAAGAACATTGCTATTCCAATGTCTATATCCATGGTTCATAGCACCCGACCGATGATATGAGTCGCGCGCGTACTGGTCAGGATGGTGGCCGTATCTTGGCATGGCGTGCCAATACTGTAATTGATTGTCAACTCATTTCCGCGGTGTTGACTGTCTGCGCGGGAACTCAGCCACACCACCTCCGTCCGCTTTTCACTCTTCAGAGTAGATATCGTCAGCCTCACATTCGCACCAACGTCAATTTGTGCTCCCTGAATGATTCTAGAGCAAGTCGCTAGGATAGTCCTATTCACTATCCGAAGCCATTGGTCGTTTGCTAGACTTGGCGACGGCGACCTGCAGCCTAGCCTTGCCTACGCGGATATTCAATATCGAAGCGATTGGGAATAAGAAGCGATGCGTCGGACTATCTCACACAGTTGCTGAGCGGCTCCCGACTTTCAAAGTAGATCAGGGTGCTTGCTTGTAAGGCCAAACCTCTGAGATTGCGAACATCTTACCAAGGCATACGAGCACAGTGGCCATCTGAGCCAGCGAATGACATCAGCTATGAGGAAAGCTATAAGTCTTACAATGTAGATGGTGTGAGATGTTCTCGATCTAGAAGAGGGGATGCTCTTACAAAAATCGGTGCCTTCAAATGAGGCACGGATGCGGGCAGAGGATGTTACGGCAGCATTGACAAGTATCCAAAGGTCAAATAGCTCACCGTAACCTAAATTTTCCGCACAAGATACAATAAGAAGCCAAAGTCTGCACAGCCATTGTGTAATCATGCTTCACTCCTGCATACCTGAGCATTTTGGTAGAGGAGGTGATAAATCGCGATAACCTCAAACTCGTCTATGTCATGTGACCCAGGTAGCTTAAGTAAGGCGGGCACAGATAAGATAAGGTGGACGGCTCTGATTTCGCAAGGCACGATACATGAGAGGTACCTTGAGTGGCATGAGGTACTTGGCTAAGGTACCCCAAGCAGCTTACCTCCGATTCCGAGGTCCAACAGACGTTGAGTCCTAATAAGTAACACATTAGAGACGTGATTGCATCCGTTGCTGGCACTGAATGAGTGAAAGAGACCACAGGCTGACAATCAGTCCATGGCCCAGGCTCGAGGAGCAAGCTTGGTGTTTATTCAACGGGGTCCCTGCAAGTCGCGGGACCTTGTTTTGGGGGCCACCAAGGCAAGACGATTCTGGGCCGACGTCTCGCTTGGCCCTGGACCTGAGTGAATTGAGTGGCTGCGAGCTTCAAAGTGGGGTGTTTCCAAAGTGCCGATACCCGAGGAGTTGTCTCAGTCATGAGCTGTTTAGTTCCCCGCCGACAATGACATACACATTGTGCCTGGTTGCCACAGGAAATTCGGAAAACACCACCAACTTGTCAACTGTCAACCGTCGAGCTGTCGACTAATTTTCTGTACCTGGACCTCTGAGACCGCATTAGTTCGTCCCATGTCTTGTTATGATCTGGGCCCAGGAGGTTGACAAGAACACGCGAACTTTGGGGATTTGACCGCGAAGAAAGAGTTACATAAGCTAAGCAATCTCAAAAGATTGGGGCCCGCTACATTAAGAACCGGGAAGACCCAGACAAGCCTTGGCACGTGATGCACGGCACATCGACGCGTAACCCCTGCGCAGCTGAGGGAAGGTGCCAATCCCTGCGGCGATGCCAATTCAAATTCAAGGTCTCGATGTTCCTGCCCAATGACGTTACTATGCACCGCGCACGGGTCTGAGCTAAACTGGATTGGCTTTTAAACTTACTTTATGGATTCCAGTTGGGGCCTTTTGGGTTTGGGTGTTTTTCTACGGAGAAGTTGCGATGCGATGATGGTTTGATCCAGGGCAGGCATGGTACCTTAGGTGGGAGGCCTTTTGGGAGACCAACTGGATGATTCCAATTGTTCTTGCTTGCGCTACCTTACGCCAGTGAACAGTCCGAGCAAAGAGCGCGCACACACAGGTACCTGGACTACCTTACCTACCTTAGGTAGAGTACCTTGAGTACACAGACAGGCGAGGGAGATGGGCAGAAAGAGGGGACCAAAGGGGAAAAGAGCGGCCTGCGGTGGCTGCTCCTCCCGTTATTAGTCGATCCAATAGCTCCGTCATTGAATTTCATTCCAACCGCATCAGAGACTGAGACCCCTTCTAATTATTCTCTCTGCGCTGTGCTTTGTTTTCTTCCAACCTACCTCACCTCGCCAAGAACTTGCCTTCTGGACAGCAATCACCACACCGTTCGTCAATCGTCCATCCGGACTGACATTTCCACGATCGACAAACGAGATCAATTGCATCGTCGTCGAAGCAATGTCGCAACCCTACGGCGAATCTGCTGGCTACTACGGTGGCCAGCAGCAACAACAGCAACCTCCATACGATGCAAAGTATACCCAGCAGTATAACAACAATAACAACGGATACCAACAAGACTACAATCAGCAGCAGAACTACCAGCAGGGCGGTTACCAGCAAGGCTATCCCCCTCCCCCGCCGCCTCAGCAGGGCTTCGATAATGGGAGCAACGGCTACGGATACAATGCGCCGCCCCAGGGCTACGATCCCGAGAAGTACACCTTTGAGGAGGCATTCAAGATTGAGAAGCCCAAGTGGAACGATCTCTGGGCTGCCATTCTGGTAAGATACACCCTGTCGCGGCGACAGACACCCTCAACACCGCGTCAATACGATGGTGTTCAATCGCTAACAACCCCACGCAGTTCCTCGCCGTCTTTCTTGGCTTCGCTGCCGTCTCAGGCCTGACGATATCCGGCTACTCTGCGACAAAGGGCCTCAATGGCGGCGGCATCTACGACGGAGGTAATACCTTTGGCCTGAGCACCAACACAATCGTCCTCTTCGCCTTCGTTCTCGCGGTCGCAATCGTTCTAAGCTATGCATACGTCTGGATGGCGCGCTTGTTCCCCAAGGCCTTTATCTGGGTCACGGGAATCCTCAACATCGTCTTTGCCCTCGTCACCGCAATCTACATGCTCTCGCGCAAGTACTACTCGGGCGGCATTGTCTTCCTCATCTTTGGCGTCTTCCTCGTCTTCGCCTTCATCAGCTGGATCCCTCGCATCCCCTTCTCCGCCCTGATGCTCAAGACTTCGATCCAGGTCTCTAAGAAGTATGGCCATGTCTACCTGGTCTCTTTCCTCGGTGGCATGCTGGGTGCCGCTTTTGCAGCTTGGTACTCCGTCACCCTAGTCGCGACCTATTCCAAGTACCAGCCGTCGCAGGACAACCCGCAGTGCAGGAGTGGCCAGTGCAGCCAAGGCAAGGTCATTGGGCTGATCGTCTTCATCACGTTTGCTATGTACTGGATCTCCGAGGTGCTCAAGAACGTCATCCATGTTACCATTTCGGGCGTCTACGGCTCGTGGTACTTCTGCGTCAACAACTTCCCTAAGGGTGCGACTCGCGGCGCGCTCAAGCGCTCTCTGACCTACAGCTTTGGCTCCATCAGCTTCGGCAGCTTGATCGTCGCCATCATCAACCTCCTCCGCCACCTGTGTTCCGTCGCCCAACAGCAGTCAGCCGCGGATGGCAACATTGTTTCGTACGTGCTCTTCTGCATCTTGAGCTGCCTCATCTCTCTGCTCGACTGGGCCGTGACATTCCTCAACCGATATGCCTTCTCGCACATTGCCCTCTACGGCAAGGCCTACATCCCCGCGGCCAAGGATACCTGGAAGATGATTAAGGATCGCGGCATCGACGCACTTGTTAACGTGAGTACTTCCCTACAGCATTCTTCCTATTGTATCAGTAGGTTAACGTGTCCCAGGAATGCCTCATCGGCCCCGTCCTCTCCTTCGGCGCCACATTCATCGGCTACGCTTGCGCGTTCCTTGCCTACCTGTACATGGTGTTCACCAACCCCGCCTACAACCAGAGCGGCAACTACACCCCTGTGGTCGTGGCCTTCTCCTTCCTTATCGGCCTGCAGATCGCCAACGTCTTCACGACGCCGATCTCGAGTGGTATCGATACCATTTTCGTCGCTTCTGCGTGGGACCCCCAGGTTCTCATGCGCGATCACCCTCAGCTGTACGACGAGATGGTTCGCGTGTACCCTCAGGTTCAGCAGGCTATCCACGCCTAATGTGGAGCATAATTGTGTGTGTGAGAGTGTGAGCCAGTGGGGAGAGGTTCAGGAGAGGTGGTGGAAGAGACTGAATACCCCAAGAGAAGTGCATTCCGTCCACTTGGACGATGAACTTAGTACTAATGAAGAAATGGCATTTTATCAATACGTCCTTGATGTTGGAATCACTTGCGCCGTGGGAGATGCGGTTCCTGTTTATCACTGACTGGAGCAGCAATCAGACTTGCCCACCAACCTCGTCAAACAACCGATATGCAAAAAGAATATCCAAGACAACGAACAACAAAAGATGATGTCCCTAGCAAGGCTCGAACTTGCGACCTTTGGATATCTCTAGATGTTCTAGGGTCATATGTATTTGATATGAGACCAACGCTCTACCGACTGAGCCATAGAGACAACTGTTCATGTCTGTTGGAGATAGACAGGTGACCAAGGACCCTCAGGGCCATGGAGACGGTGAAAAGAACTGTTGGGGGACCCGGATGAGCAAAAGATAATGACCAGCCTGGGGGTCGAACCCAGAATCTCCTGATTACACGAATCTCTCAACTCTCGATAGGAGGGAAGAAGGGGATCGTAGTCAGACGCCTTGCCATTGGGCCAACCGGCCTTGGAAGAAGATCCAAGTGGAACTGCTTGATGGGAGACGAAGCAAGATTGGAGTTCATGAAAGAGAGGAGATGGGACTGCGGGGCTGCCGCTGGAAAAGATTAGTCTTGGAGAGCAAAGAAAATTCTGCAAAGAGTTTTTCGGGCTTGAAGGCAGATTTTTCACGATGGGGGCCGGCCGGTGGTGTTGCGGTGGATTGAGGACGTGGGGTGGCCGGGTCGGTGACGAGCGGATCGGAGGCGGGGGCCGGCGGTCTGCGGATGGTGAGTTTGGGTGGGGAACGCGGGGTCGGAATGGCATTCGGAAGAGAATGGCAGCGTGGTGATATGGCGGCTAACATTTCACAGGAGGGTTCTTACGGGAGGTAGGGCTCTCGGGGTACCTCGAGTACCCCGTATCAATGCTGGATCATAGCGGCAGTTCATGGGAATGACGCTTTGCAAGTTCAGGTGAGCTATTCAATCAAGTCCACAAGTTCATTCAGTTTGGTTGCCACTACTAAAGCACGCATAGCGCGTCCATCTTCACCAATTTTCACCTAATTCCCGTCCTACATCCTGGTCCCTCCTCCCTCGAGCTCGCCTATCCTCGACTGCCAATCAGCCGGAATCTCCGCTCCTTCAATCCAAGCGCCATTTTCAAGCTCACGCGTTCGGGATTGTACCACGCAACGCTGGCTGCCATCCCCCTCTCCCTCCCTCCCGGAGGGCATAGTACATCATCCGATGCAACATTCACGCGTCACCGACGCGGTTTTCAGCAACTTACCAGTCACTGTTGGCCATCTTGACATCTTCAGATGTCTCTCCCACTTGGGTGTTCTCATGAGAGCACGGTTGGTGAGGGGCAATTCTCAATTGCCCGACTCTGTAGGTGAGTTTTTCCATCCAATCAGAATCGTCAATCGCCAATTCCTTGAAGCTGCGAATGAGTGATTCTACTCCTCCTGAATAGAGATGAGTAAACACATTCCCCTCCTCGGCCGATTCAATCGGCGGGGCGTCAGTCATGTCAACATCTTCATCATGCTGTTCATTCGACTGGTTGGCTTCACGTCGCTCGACGTTCACCACGGAGTCCACACGCTCTTCGTTGCCGATTGCAGTCACCGTCACCCCTTTCCCATAAGATCAGCCAACGCACCTATTCTCAACACGCCCACGGCACGAATGCCAAAACTTACTGTACATGAAGCCCCCAGCTTCATGGGTCCCGATCACCGCCCAGGCGCCGTACTTGCGACTGACGGGCGACCAGCCACTCTCCCCCGCCATCTCCGCAGGCCGCGGCTTCGCGACCTCGGCCACGATCCTAGCGACCAGGCGCTCCAGCACCTCTGGGTCTAAGGTTACGTGAAATGGATCCATCGTGTCTTACCTGACGCGTCTCTTACGACGCGTTTTCTATCTACTCGAAGCGTGTCCCGGACACTGCCTGAACTCCAAGCTCTCGCGAAGCAAAACAAGAAAGAAAAAAGGAAACGCTGACTAGGAAGGCACCGCTGCCTCGTTCTCCCCCAGCCGATAGAAGGAAAGGAGAATGATGAAAGGAAGAAGAAGAAAGAGGGAGGGAGGGAAAGGAAAGACGACAGGCCGAGCCAATTTATGCCTTTGAGACGCGTCCAGGACCTTCCACACGCGTTTGCCAATAGGAGTGTCTGTACAGCTAGCAAGCCTCGTTTTCAACCTGCTGGCCACCCTCAAGAAAGCAACTGGCAGTAGGTACGTATCTCCTCTCGGCAGGATATCGGCTGAAGTGACAAGATCCAACAGTCTCCCAACGTCGGCTGATCATTGTTCCCTTCTGATGACTTAGCAATGCAGCCGATGTGACGTTCCTCATTATGATTGGATAGCGAGCTGCAGGCTGGTTTTGCCGCAGTCGGCTACACAGGAGAGGTGTATCAAGAGGGACGACTGAAGTACTGTGTACCAACGCCATCATTTCCATCATTCATACGCGTAAGATACTTCGATAATTAGCATAGACCATGTCGGCCTCGCCCAACATGTCCCTCTCGACTAGGTACGGACGTTAAATACATTATCATTGTTATCATCACTCACGATCGCCGAGCGCTCACCACCCATCACTAAGCGCTCACTGGCACCAACGGTGTAATCAGTGGGAAGACCTACCCTAACAACATCTACTTCTATGTTTTGTTGGGAAGAGGGATGGCCTGGCCAAAGACACCCAACAAGGTAGGGTTGGAGTTGTCAGATGGGGGAATGGTGAAACTAGTGCTGGAGCTGGCGTTCTTGACTTGGTCAAAGGTGGTGGTTGAGGTCTGAGTGGAGTTGGCGTCACCTCCTAGACCGATGTTGAAGCCAAAGATGGACGCCCTGCCACCGCTGGAGCTGGCCTTGTCCATGTAGTTGTTGATGGTGGATGCGGCGGAGGAAGAAAGCTTCACCTCCATGCCAACACCGTACGCGAGAATTGCCTGGTTGACAACCGCCATAGGCTTGCTAAGGTTGGGATCGGCGTCGGCGACGATGGGCAAACCAGCAAGCTGGCTCGGGTTCCTGGTACCATTCAGCCGTTTGCCTCTCAAATTTTGATGGGGTTAACTTACCAGTTTCCGGGGGCAATAGAAAAGCTTTGGAAGCCAGTAGCGGTAATAGTGACCTCCAACTCAGCTCCGGCTTCTTCCGCGGTAACATTCTTGGTCACAGTTACGTTGTTCTCGGTGTATGTTGCGCTGAAAAAACTGCAGTACGGTGCGGTCACCTGAACAGTGTCGTTGGAGTGACCAAGGTCCTGCCAAGATGACGAACTGGCGTCACTCGCCTTGAACGTGATCGTCGTGGGTGTCTTGGAGTTCTGGGTGAATGTGTTGATCCAGCCGTCAACGACCTGGAGGTACTGGGCAGGGATCGTGTACGCGGGACGCTCGAGCGGAGCATCGGGGGTGCCAGCTTGACCGGAAGAGATTTGATCGGCGCTAGCAGAGGAGCAGGTCATGGTCACGCTGATGAGATCAGAAAAGACCCCCGAACCTTAAGCCGTTCAGTCACTCACCCAGGGATTGCAGTTGTGCCATTGGCGGCATTGAGACTTGACTGGTATTGACTCACGACGGGAGCCATTGGGTCATCCAGGGCGGAAGAAGCGGCAGCTGCGGCAGCGGTGGCAGCGCGACTAGAGGTCTGCGCCCATGTTAATTTAGGATAGTTCTGGATGCACCACTGAGGGAAGGAGTCAGAGATGATCTGGTCAGTCACATCCTGCTTCCAGGCCGCAATGGCGGTATATTTGACGTCTTGATACGACTTCTGCGCTGCCTGGGCGGCTTTCTGCGCATCATTGTATCGAAACTTGGCGCCAATATTCTTATCCGAGTGCTGCAAGTGTTTAGTCAGTTCATTAGCACTTCGACAGGGGAAAAACTTACAAGGTCGACGCTGTTAGGGTACCTATTATGGTCTGGTGTTTAGCGAGATATTTCGTAAAGGGCGAGAAGAGTGACATACAAGAGGCATCGTTGGAAGTAGCTCTGTTGGCCAGGAAGGAAGACTGGCTCGTCGAGGCTCAGAAGCGAGTCACCGATAACATACACGCCGTTGTTAGTGATGGCTGGGTTCACCTTCGTGCCGGCCGCTATACCTGCATAAGAGAGTGGTGCGACGTAGAAGCGGTTATTGCCGCTCAGGGTGATGGATTGAGCGAAAGTGTTCTTGAGCTTGACACCGTAAGCCAGCCAAAGGTCAGCATCAGCCTTGGGGACCTGGGGAGTAGTCATTCTGAGATATCTGAAAGATGCTTGAACTGTGTTTGAAAGTGGCTGGTTTAGTACATGGTTGAGAATAATTGTGACTGAAGGTTTCTTAGGGTTTTCCATAAGATAGTAGGCCCCTTATACACGTCTGGGAGAGTGAGAGGCAGCACATGTTACGATTCATTCAAAGGTCTTTGGATGATGGCATGTAGAAGCAACTCGAAGGGAAAAGTAATTGCATGTATCAACTGTATTCTCAATGGCTTGATGGCCGTCCCGGGCGTCTGAGACTAGTGCATAACTCCTGCTGGCGTTTTCGAAAACGGAGCGTGATCCGGACTCGCAGCAGCTGAGTGTAAGACGTGTAGCGGTGAGAAAGGATCAGAGACGAAAGCGAGTGGCTGCCCACGCTGCCTTAACTCCGGAAACTTTTCCTATATGTGGTTGTGATGTCAATGGGAGAATGGCCTGAACTCGCGCCAAGTTGTGTAATCTCCTCGCAACCAAGTGAGACTGCGTTACTCTCTATACTTGACACTTCCAACTAGGTAGTTATATGCTTAAGCATGTTACTGGACTGAGCACTGACCGAGGTGCTTTTACTGGTTTTTCTCCTCCTGAACATGCTGAATCATGTAGAGCTATCTGACCTCCTCCGCGTCTAGGGAGGATAGGATGTTCAGCATTCTAGTAACTTACTTTGTGCATATCCAGCGTCTACACATTGCTCCACTACACTGATCGGCGGGCCGCTCCCGTCGGGTGATTACCCCGCTTGTCACTTCCAAACCCATGCACCATGATCGACCAGCTCGCGAGGCGGTCGACTTCGAACCTGGCTAGATCTACAATGCTCGGCGTTCGCTTATAAGCCTGCATGCATGCTCGTGGTTGGACGACATTCGATGTCACTTCCAGACATTACTTCACATCTCACTGCCCAGGACGATCTGTAAAGTATCTCGACACTTCCCGCTGGTCCATGGTCTCCTCTGCGAGTGCCTACTTAGTCTGTCCTTTTCACAGGTCCCCTCCCCCACAGTCTCGCCTGTTAGTCCGCTTCTGCGAGGTATCCGCAAGTATGGTCGCCAACTTTGGCGGCAAGGTGGGCGGCGGATAAGGAAAACTCGGAGCAAAACCACCCGTTTGCCGAAGCACCCTCTACTTAAGGTAATGGATACTATGTAGCAACACTAGCCGCTCGCCAAACTTTGATGCTACGAGGCATTCACTGCGATGATGACTGGCATATCTGTTCCAGCTCCAGTGTATAAGTGTAAAAGTGGGCAAGGGTCTCATGCGCGGGTGAGTCTTGGACACATTCCTCCACCCCATGTTCTGTTAAAGGTACTTGGTCATGCGGATGCTCTACAAGACTGAAGTAAAGCCATAATCAACATGGTCCTTGAGACCATGAGACTCTTCAAGGAGGTTGACATCTTCCACGCCATGCTTGATCGTACCCTAGTAATAGGCCGATCATTGACGTCGTCGAATGGTATAGGCGCACCAGCCCCAAACTTTTCCAAGATCTCAGGCGAAACAACCGCGTGATTCACAAGAGGCTTCCCACTGACAAACCTGGAGGCAGAAAACTACGTAGAGCCAAGCGGTGACCTACATGCAGCACCTCGAGGCTTTCGGGAATGCCTGGACACGTGTACCTTCCATCTGATATGGGCCACTCTCTTTCTATCTCAGCTCTTCTACCCATAGAACTTCACATCTCGCGAAGACGAATCGTCACATCATCAAACGCATCTTATTGCTTCCTTCATCCAATCATCTCACGCCTCTTCAGATTTGACCAATCCACTCATCATTCTTCATGCGATACGCTAGGGCCCGCCGATCTAGCCATTCCACAACATCATCTCTACCGGCGGCCACCGCTGTGTCTCGATAGAAGACGTCTCGGACTGGACGTTTCTCCGGGCCAAGGTCCTCGCTAGACAAAAAGTCGAAAATCGTCTCAGTATGGAATGGCTGGCCGTCCCATGTCCTCTTGTTCAGTGTTTGCATCCAAACTTACTCCAAGTCGTCTCTCCAAGCCACTCTTCTGTGGTGTTGCTTGTTTTCTGAGCGACTGAGCTTGGCGCCGAGCCTAATGAGATTCCTGCAAATCGCGAGTCGCCTTTTCTCGAAGGCTATCATCAATGGCGTTCGTCGTTTCCCATCTCGAGGGCTGATGTCGAACCCATGCTGGACCAGTCTCTCAACGAGCGAGTATTCCTCATCAAAAGTCTCACTTTCTGTTGGCTGACGTACCGGGTGATCACGTGGCCAGACATGTAGGGCACGTGGTATCACCGGGGGAGATGGAGAGGTCTCAGGATCATATAGGATCCTGCAGATGCGCAGAATGGCCGAACCACTACCAACGAGACCGACCCCCTTGCTTTCTTGTATACTTAGCTACCAATCCCATTGCCCAGAGTCCCGTGTCGGACGGCGGATACCAAGACGGGAGTCGACTTTTGTCCGGTCTCGAACTTGAACTGGACGCGCTCCCTCATCCGAGGGTGGAAATCTACGTCTCGGTCGTCAAAGCTTCCCAAGTTCTGAAAGGGGATTATGAGGATGATGGTAGTCCAACTTGATACTAACGCTGTCTTTGACACCTCCCTCTTAGTCTTGGCCCCGGGCCTTTCAATATGAAGTATCTTGTTGTTTTGTTCTTTCCCCACAAAAAGACAACTGACGGCAAAGGCAGAAGCTCGGTTCTGAACCTTCACAATGTGCCCGTCTTGAACCAAAAATGACCAGATTATTTTCGTTGAACAGAGTAAGCAACGTCAAGACGAATCTAGCACCACCGAGTATAATAGTACTACATGGAATATCTACGGTTACTATATATTAATGTACATCGAGATCAGCCTGAAGCAAAGTCGTTGAATTCCCCCGCAATGATGATATTTCTTCTAATTGGTTTCCACTAATAGACCGCACGGGATATGCCCTCTCACCGCCGTATCCGCCTTTTCCACTCGAACACGAGAAACCGAGCGACTCTAGGCTCCAGAAATTTGCGACCAAGATGCCATTCGCTGATCCGCAGACGCAAGCTAATACATGTCTCCAAACCTCCGCCTTACTAAATTTACATACTGGCAGCGTTACGCTGCACCATGACTTGGGAGAGCTCGGGTGAGTCCAGTCTTCAGGAAGGGAAAGCCGGATGCCTTGCAGAGGATCATCGAGCCCCCTCACCCGCTCCAACAAGTCTAGCACGCTCTCGCCTGCCTTGTTGACGATGCCCGCCTCGGCCCCGCACTCAATGAGTGCGGAAAGTATCGTTTCGAAGCACCTCGCATGATGCCTGTGAAGCTCGTCATTTTCATAGATATCGAGGATGAGAGTCAACAAATTGCCGAGAGGTGTGTTGCCATCGTTGTCAACCATTTTGATGGCGGTATCAGAACGGATAAAGCCTAGCAACGTCTGGTCCAGCTTCATGTTCCTAGAGAGACTGTCTGGGTCCATTGATTCTTGGATGAGGCGGTGGAGGGACGTATGATGTTTTGTGGCCTAGTTCTGTGCGATAGGATATGCCTCAAGCATCAGTCCGACTGCACGGGGGTCTGAGCCTTCTTCACGAGCATAATCCAGAGGAGATGTCCACCTTCCACTTTTTCCGACATGCGGATCTACTCCATGGGCGAGGAGAAATTTGACAATCTTCTCATCGAACCATTCCTTGACGCACATGATGTAGCCCGCATTCCAACCGTTATTCGTCGTTTCGTGTACTATATTCGCGGCTTGTTTGACGAGCACTTTGATGACACCGTATTGACGGAACCGAATGGCGAGATGGAAGAGTGACCATCCTGCATGTCTCAAACTGAGAAACATGAGACAATTCCTAGTTTTGGGGTTTGGAGAAAAGTAACAATCGGGTATGTGGGTGCCAGTGCACAAGCAACTCTCAGTATCTGGCTCGCATTCAATGTCGCTGCCATCATCGATAGCCTCAACTGATTTGGGCGGTTCGAAATCTTCGAATTGTCTGAGAAACCTCAATTCCGCGACCGGGACGTATGGGATCTCTGGTGAGCCGATACACGATGGGTATGAGATCCACACTGATTTATATCGGCCATACTTGACTAATGCGTCCACAAGGCTCTGTTCTTTAGCAGCCATTGCAACAGCGAGAAAGAAGGGATCTTTCAAGAAACGTTCCTTCGGATCCATCGCCTTACAGAACCTGTAAGCTTCTTTGCTGCTGCCGAAGCTGTCGCGAGGATCGATTCGTGCCGCTTGAACCCTGATGTTCATGTTTGCCCAGATGGCGTCCCACTCGATCCTCGTCGGTGTCTTGAAACCGTGCTTCAAAAGTCTCAGTGCGAGCTGATACATACCGAACCCATGAGAGAATAGTCTTGTCATGAGTTTGAAACGTTGGTCGTTCGGACTGTTTCCATCGGCAAGCCCATGTGTGACGAGTTCCACCAAAGCAGCCCAAATACGACGACTATAGTCCGTGTCGAGGTCGAGAATGCCGCTGTTCATCACGTTCTGTAGAGCCTGGTTGCATCTGGGTCTATCTTTGCCTTTCGGACGTTTGTTGAGATGCTGGCGCAGCAAATCTATGCATTCTGAGTACGAATCGAACCATTCTCTGCTCTTGAACCAGCGAGATGAGAGGGTCGCACACTCAAGTGGTGTAAGGTTGTCGGTGCTAGCGCTGGAGGCGTCCACGCCCAATTCCAGTAGCGTCGATAGTGTCGTGGCGTTGTGTGAGAAGCATGCGATCTGTAACGGGTCTCGTTTTCCGATCGCTCGCGCTGGTGAGTCCAGTAGAAGACGGATGACTTCACGTTGCGCTGAGGTATCTGTCTTCCAATCTGGACCGCGTCTCCTGGGGTATGGAAGTCGTGAATCCATGGTCGGACGTGCGAATCCATCGGGCCTGCGTATAACGGGCGTAGGACCGCAGCAAACTTCGAGCAAGCCGCATTTCTTTACTCCGAAGGGTATGCGGATGCTCCTCTCATGATATGATAATCCGACTAGGGAACGTCTATTGAACTCATCGAAAGTGATGTCAACCTTGGCCCCAGCTTTGATGAGTGTAATGGCTTCGTCGAAAAGTCCGTAGAGGCATGCCTCCATCAACATGGTATGGCCCTTTCCGAGATCGTGGTTGATATCGGCTCCGTTGCGCAGCAATACCTTCAGAGCCGCCTCAAAGTTCTTCGCATCAGTCGCCTCCCAGAATGCCCTCCAAAGCAACGTCGCACCTTTGAGGCCTGGTTGCTTAGCATTGACAGCATCTCTCTCCGACCCTTGCTGCAAACACCACTCTGCAAGGTCCATGTGGCCGTGACGAATGGCGGAAATGAATCTAGGGAGCACCTGCCATGGTTCTGTTGTTTCTGAATTGTTGAGAAGTCGTTCCTGAAGGTGTTCACAGTGCTCCATCAACCGTTTAGCCACGTCAATCTGTCCGTGGCACAAGGCAATATGCAGTGGTGTCCACGCCGGATACCCCACCGTATAGTGGTCCCAATATAAAGCCGGTCCCGGCACTTGGTGGCACTCGCTGCGACAAAAGCCTTGTGAAGACACATTCACAAGTGCACCGTGTTCTAAAAGCAACTCAAGAGCTTCCATGTTGCCCATCCTGGCAGCCATATGGACAGGCATCCAATACATGCCCAGGATGTCGATATTGTCCATGTCCTCGTCGTCATATTCCGGACACCGGAGGTACCCTTCGTGCATGACGTGGCTAACGTCGATCTCGCGCCTGCCGGACTCATTCGAGTCTGAGTCATCGTCGTATTCAGCAACAACATCCGGCAGAGGAAAGAGAGGGAACGATGCCACAGGTTCAGGAGCTGCAGCCAAATCGGGGCCGTCTTCACTTCCGACGTCTTCGCCATCCGAGAAGTCATCAGCGACCGAAGCGTCTTCTGAGGAACCGTCTTCAGGAGAATTGTCATCGGCGAAATTGTCAATGGAAGAGGCTTCCGATGCCAGACCGTCATCTGCGACAATACGGGCATCTTCCTCACCCTCGATTTCTTCTTCGTTCCCCGATTCCACGCCATCAGGCACAGAATCCTCATCAAATGAAGAATTGTCATCAGACGTAGAATCGTCATCAGACGCAGAATCGTCATCAGACGAAGAGCTCCAATCGTTATCAGATTCGATCCCTCCCCATAGGAACCCCTGTAAGTCTGCCAACTCGTCTGTTTCATCTTCGAGGTCGTTGGGGACCCATGTCGCGTCCATCGTAGTATGCCTCCGACTTGGCCGTCCCTGGTACATTGCCTGATCTTGGAAACGATGCCCATCACGTCGATAGAAACGCCAGAAGAGCTCTTTTGACGATTCGGCCTTTGGGTCCCATGGACTATACTCGGCTTGAAATCGAATCATTGCAATGTTGGGGTCCGCCAGCGTAGTGCGCAGCACTTTTCTCATGATTCCCACGCGAGAGATGTCGGTTGCCCAACATAACAGATATGGATGGCGGCGCACGCCGTTCTCGTACAGCAGTGGAGTTGCGACGACATTGAAGAATTTGTTCGTCCGGGCTAGCGCCGCAAGTGCAGCAAGCTGAGCGTCGGCATATTCGTAGCCGATGGGATCGTCTCCCGGGAGAAGGGTCTTTTGCCGCGCCAATTCATTGACAATAAATATCTTGACCTCCGGAGGGAGGTTGTGCAGGTTCGTCATGGCCAAATCTGCCGGCCCTGCGACAACCGGCTGGTGGGCTATTCCACCGGCTGCCTAGTGACTAATTGATTGATTCAAGCGCAAGAGAAAAGAGTGCGAGCGGTACGTTTACTCACGGAATCAGGAACAAGTGATGGCGGTGGGAAAAGAAGGTTGTGAGACGAGACACTGCGTTCTGAAATTCACGGTTTGGTGAGATCTCTTCATTGATGACCCCTAATATCTAATCCAGGCATTGATTGGCGCAACACGCGACCCAGTGACCGGGGGTAGAACTTCATGAGAAGTTACGAACGGCAAAATTTACGTCTAGCCACACTACCAGGGGAGAGTGCCTGTGGCTGTGCATCGACATGGCAACGTCAAATTTTGCTTCTATGACAGCAACACGAAATCATGGGTGAGCTGCAGGTAGATTACCACAAGTGACAAAAGGGAAACTGCCCAAAGCCAGAATCGAACTGGCGATCTTCTCATGTCGGGGACAATCGCTTCATGACTGGATACAGTCCGGAGGCAGACGGAGATACTAGTGAGACGCTTTACCACTGAGCCATTCGGGCGGTTGTCGATGAAGGTTTTGGACGGTAGGGACTATCATGTGGAGCCGGAGAATCTCGTTCCAATCTCTTTCGTCTCGCCATACGATTGTGATAAAAATCTTCCAGGGGTTGAGTTGGCTTCACACTCCATCCCCTACTTCTGACACTAACACAAACAGATATTGCAGGCTTGGTTCACTTCGGACAGTGATTGCTTTGAGTATGCAGTGTGCCTGTGTGTAAACTCGTTCATCTCCTCTCGACATCTTGAGTGATATACAAGGTAAGTGGTAAGCGGCAAATTGGCCTCTAAGAAGTATTTGCCTGTTAAGCCATCCGTGAAGTTGCTGTGACCGTCAGCGGTACAATGGCTTGGCCCATATTCTGCTTATAAGCTCAATGTACTTGATCGCATCCTTGACTGGATACAATGTTGTGGACACTACTGGAGCACCACCGCGAATACCTCCTATGATTGAGTGGAGCCTACCGTGTATTCTCGGGTCCGCGCCGCAGCCTAGCTACCACGTAGAATAAACGTCTACGAATAAACCACAACCCAAGGCCCTTTAGAGCTGAGAGCCCAGAAAAAAGGTATGAGCAGCATCTGAAGTGTACATGACCTAGTGGTGGAGGTATTAACGCGTAATGGGGTCCTTGAAAGGTTGCGAGTTCGAAAATTGGTGGTCCTACATAATGCCACAGACAGCTCATTTTTGCATCTTCAGTTCTTTACAAGTAACCTGCCAGCGGTGTATCGCCCACACACTCACCGGATAGTCAGCTCTGGAGCAATTAATTTCAAAGCCTCTCAAGAAAAATATTTTACTGAATTAGTCACTTGAGAGACTCGTGCAAGTAAGGCTTTGACAAAAGCCTGGTGTTTTGCAATGAGAAGTTCCAACATCAACCCCCGGTCACCAATATTTAAGTAGTTTTTTGACTGTTTTGACACGAGCCACGATCTTATGTATAGAATTTTTATGGCTTATTATGTCATATCCGCTAAAGCTGCATGACTACAAAGTCCCTTTTGTGACAGCAAGCGTTATAGCTTAGGGCGCGCTACATGTTTTGACGTTTTGAATCCCTGTCGTATGGTCATACGGTCCATAATCGTTGAAACTCAGTGGGAGCCGGTCGATTAGTAATCGACTCCTTGACTTCAACGACTGCCTAGAACTGACTCGGAAACCATACGTGTCGAGATGTATCGTACGAAGGCAAGTACTCATATGCCCTCTATTTGGGAAGTCCGTCGACCGTAAAGTCGGTTTTCTAAAGTCATCATCACATCTACGCCGACAACTCAACCTTACCATCGCAGGAAATGGCGAAATCATTCTTTGCAAGACTCTTCCAACCGACTTGGTCCAACGCGGCTTCACAAGGGTCGCACTCTTTTAGCAATGACACTTCTGAGAATGCGTACGACGAAGTAGAGCCATGGATCAAGACCGACTTGGATATACCTATAGATGCAACCAACCGCGATAGATGGCCCAGCCTCATCTTGCAAGCCCGAAGGCATATGAGATGCCATCCCTATCATCCGAAACGCCTCCCCAAAAGCTATCAACCTTTCCGCATGGTAGTGGACTCTCCAGAAGACGAAGGCGAGAGGACAAGGAAGGAAGTCGACATATCCGAACCGCCTACGTTCCCCCTGTTCATGGACCTACCAAAAGAGCTCAGAGATAAGATCTTGCTCTCGTCACAGGCCCCAATCGTCATGGAGGGCTTCGCAGTGATGGATGAAGAGTGGAGAGGGGGACCGCAAGCACACTTTCGCTCGTACAGGTCCTGGCATCAAATCCCCCTCTACGCCGTTAGCCGCGAGACGAGAGCGCTGGCCATCACCTTCTTCGGCGAACCGGATCCGCTCTCTGTACCATTCAACGCAGCTCAAGACGCTATTCTCTTGGACTGGGATGGTTCCAAGCAGGTTCAGCGTGGCTGGACGGGCAATCACAGAAGCCCCGGACCCGTACTGACGACTCACCGATGGAACGCATCCGAGGAGTGGGCGATGCCGAGGAATCTGTGCGATAGAATCCACCACGTCAAGGTTGACGCGCGCCACGCTCCTTCCGAGAATGCAGACAAGGGAGAGAAGGCATCTTGGCGGCTTGTGTTTGGGCTTCTCAAGGAGCACTTCCCTAACATGACGATAATAGAGGTGCAGCTGTCAGACTTGGACGACAAGAGATTCGAGGGGACGTACGATCCGGTGGGCCAAGAGCTTTATAGGATTGATCAGCTGGATCTTTTTGATGAGCTGGAAGAAATGTCTGAAGATGGACGGGTACCGTTCCAGAGCTTAAGGCGCTTCATTGTCACACCGGAACTCCAGACTCCTCTTCAGGCCGAGAGAGAGATTCTGAAGTTCCGAAAGGTGGGAGGTAGCCATTTCAAAGTCTTGAGACAGGGTCAAATTCCCAAGGCTGGACAGTAAAACTTTCTACGAGGTGGTTGATCGGTCAAGGGCGGGACTTCAACTAGTATCATTGGGCCCAGTCTTCTTTGAAACCTCGGGCCTTGTAGCTATCTAGTACTAATACCTAGTTTATGCTCCGCCTTACAAACACCTCACGATATCTTTTTGTGAACCAACGACCTGCCTAAACAAGCTTCCGCGCTTCCTATTCAGAACGGTATGCGCTGCAAGTAACTCTCCCGACGTCCAGACTTCAAGAATCCTGGCTATCATACTAGCCGTTTGTACTCAGAGGCAGGGATCCTAAAGATCTCATCAAAATTCCACAAAGCGTCCGGAAATTTGTCCAAATCTCTCACGTCCGCCCCGCTCTCGAGAAGCACTCTGGCCGTCTTCCTAGCATCGCCTCGTTGATACCTAAAGACCTCCGACGTACGAAGCGCAACTACAAGCGGGGGCCAGTATCCAATCCTGCCATGGGACAGCCATCGTCCACCAGTAAGCCCAGCGCCAGCCTCCAGCAGGGCACGAACGACGTCTACCTCCCGGAGCTCAGCAGCAATAGACAGCGCCGTCCGCAAGATTCTCTGCCCAAAAGCGCCAGTCAGAGTCGGAGCTATGGACCTTACGAACGCCAATCTCGACGCGCGCCAGGCCTGGCTTCTGGCTTCTGTCTGGGCGTCGACTCTCGTTGTATCATAGCGCAACAACCCATATGAAAAGGCGTGCATACTCGGCAGACACGCGATCTCAAGGGGCGTGAAGTCCTTGACCGGGATACCGTTGCCGTTGCACCTGATGTGGTAGAAGCCGCCCTGAGAGAGAGCCCGTTTGGCCATTACCGGCCAGCCGGCGCGAAGGAAGGCTGTGACTGGCGATGCCCCGACCGAGAGGAGGACACGGGCCTGGTCGAACAGGCCCATGTAGCAAGCCTCTATGAGAAGCGTGTGTCCCAAGCCGCGGTCCTCGTCGACGCGGGCCCCGTGAAGAGCCAGCAGCGCGGCCCAATCCGCAAAGAAGTCTGGGCGTCTTGTCGTCTCGGTTGACAGACAAAAGGCATGCATCAGAGCGGTGCGGCCATCCATATCCATCCACTTTGCATTGACTTCGGCGCCGAAGAAAAAATAATTGCCAATGATCATGTATTCGTTGTGATTGAAAGACAAGTGCCGGAGGAAAAACGCCGTCACCCTTAAAAAGTCTCGGTCAATGAGCCTTGGTAATGTCAGTCTCGTGTATACGAGAGCGAGATAACGCAAGCCGATTGCTTGCACTGTCGGCAAGACTCGAAGAAGCATATCTTCGTCGCTGTGGTAAAAGGCCATATCGCAGAGACGCCAATATAACCCGTTCATGTTTCCTTCTGCGTCGAGAAGATAAGGATTGAGTTGCATCTTCCAATTGGGTTTGTGTTTGCACAGTAATGTGAGGGCCTTGTAGTCGCCTTGGTGGACAGCGATACTAAGCGGCGTCAAACAAAGCTCGTCGGGCATTGCTCGGCGGAGGCGATGTGTTTTTGCTGCCGGTCTTCTGTGGTAACGCGTCACAAAGATCTCATCGAATTCTTGGTAGAAGAAGTGCCGAAAGATGTTTGCCGGAGTAATAAGAAACGGTGGAAAGGACAGCGCTCGGCTAGTAGTATCCAGATCACGAATCTTCGCATTCTGATTTGCCCCAGCTTCGAGGAACCTCTTGATGAGATCTAGTCTGCCGAGTGCGGTGGCCCAATTGAGCAGATAAGGGTGTCTGTCAACTACCCTCTTGTGATAGATGGGAATGCAGGCATAATAAAAGCCTTTGCACGTTCGACATAGTGCGTATATATCGTCCACCACTCGAACATCGACGCAATGAGCGATCCTCTCGATGATTTCTGTCGGAAGACTGGATATTGACGTCGGGGCCGAGGGCGATGATTCCGTCTCAACTTGAGAGTGAGCATCACTAAGATGTCCTGCTCGCATTGTTTCTGTTGTCTGATCGTATCTGTTCGGTGACCAATATGTTGCTGAAAGTCATAAGGTGGACGTGAAGGTATGGGCGGTTCCAACTTCTGGAAGGCGACTTGCGGGAACGTAATTTCTTAGAAGTGAATACAACAGGCGATTTTTAGTTTTTAGATCAACTGGCTTGATAATGAAGTTCAAGATGATCTAGCTGCTGCGGGGACTGAAGGGTCTAATAAGAGCTTCCTATTGACATTTCGGAGATACCTGCTGTCTCGATACCTTGAAGGAGACGGTTTGCAAGTGTTAGAGGAACTCCATCGTCACGTTTCGGAGATGCCTACACTATCGTGGATATCTTCCAATCACAAAGATCTCCAGCCAATCAGGCTGTGGAGGTTGCCGTATACCTTCCTAGATTATCATCAACCGTGGGAGCGAGCGGGAAATACACCACGGTCCCTTTCCAACAACAAAGCCAAGAGAGATCAAATATCATAGGTGAGTGATAAAGGCCGTTGCCAATGAATGAAAGAATTGGACCAAATCGGTTCAAGTAAATCCGACATACGCTTACATCATGATATTCTTCAAGGTCAATGAGGTGCGATGAGGAGCATTCTTGTATAAATGCCATACAATGGAAGCCGCCACCCTTGCAATGTTGTTATTCGCCAAAAAAATGTTCTTGTTCCTGGATTCGGACAAACCTCCATACCCCAAATCAGGCAGGCCGCCATAACCTTGAGGGCATGTTGTGTTGTTGGTATATTTGGCCTAACAAACCCATTTCTGACTAGGTTCTCAAAGCAGATACGACTGATACCATATCTATCTCCGTCACCATCCCATTGAAAGGTCACTACAGCAATTAATACGGATAGAGCAGCAAGTTTGCTCAAATGCCGTCGACGTTTGAGCTCAGGAACAACTCCGAAATCGTGGGCCGTGAGCAGCCAACCGGTAACAGAATAAACGTTCCGGCCACTGAATATTACAATATCGCGGCAATGATGTTGATCAGTCATTCCATTCAAATAAGGGACGAGACTGCGGGCCGTGGTTGAGAACTTGAACGTAGCAAGTCAAGTTGTCATAATAGCATCTGATTAAGGCACGACCTGGTATCTCGTACTACGATGTCTGTCCCCAGTTCGTGACGACCTCAAGAGCAACTATTCTGCAACCGCCTCAGGCATTCCATAGCATGTTCCGCATCATCCACATTATAGGAACGCACTATGATACTGTCTCCAACCCAGTCTACTCTAACACCAATCTTCACATAGATGTCGTCCTCACCTCCCGTACTTGATCCAAACAGCACACCCCCCAACAAAGAGAATCCCCATCAATATCAAATTCGTCAATACCCCCTCAATCCACCTCTTAATCGCCATCTCCTCCCTCGCCTTCCACCCGCCACCCGGCCCAACAGCATTCGCGTGCGGGAACGGCATATCGGGCACCTCCTTACCTAGGAACTTGCATAGGGGCTCCCATCCTTCATCGGCGGACCACTCGAGGAGCCTATCGGGGGGAACCATGCCGCGGATCATGTCGCAGTGTTCTATGCGTTTTTACGTGTCGTTAGTCCCGGTCATTCCATAAGAGGTTTTCCTGCCGCGAGATGTGCGTCTGTCCTGTCGGTGGAGGTCTCGTAGATCAGACCACGAGCATCCACTCAAGGCCAGATAAGACTCCAGTGACGCGCGTGCACAAAAGGCTTGTGCTCGAAAGAAGGAATGGAAAAGGCTTGAACGTAACAAAAAGAAAGACAAAAAAATCTTGTTTCCCCAAAAGCAATATCGAACCGACACTCAAGCAGTAGTCAAGACGAGAAGAAGAAAAATACTCACCACGATAAACCCACTTCCCATTCCTCCTAATCGCTCTCGCCATGTCACCATCCGGCGCCCGAAAGAATAAGGCCCACAAGAACCTCTCATAGACATGCCATGCCCAAAACGCCTCCCGGTCCAACAGACTCGACACCCAAAAGCTCCAGCTCTCGTTCACGTGCACCAACGTCTTGACCGCGCTCTTGTGCCACGAGTCAAGGTCCCGCCGCACGTTGAGCACGACTTTGGCCTCAGGGTATGCTCGGATCATCTCCGCCGCAAAGCAGCTCGCCGCCGCGTCCGTCACCGCGACGCAGTGGCCCAGCAGCTCGTCGAATTCCTCAGCCGTGATCTGGCAGTCGCCCTCCAATGATGGGTCATCAATCTCTTTCCCTCCTTTACGTTTCGGTGACGATGACCCGCTGCCGCCGTACCACTTCTTCCGAGCAAGCTTCACCCATCCCGTCGCAGGAATCGGCGGGTCGTCATAGACGATATCCCAGCCGTGGTAGGTATGATCGTACCCGAGCGCAAGCAAAGCCTGCTGCAGGGACTCGGTAGCGCTGCGTGGTGGACCGACGCAGAGAACTTGCATCGGCTTCATGCGCTTGCGCTTAGGTGGTGGTGGGATGCGGTAGACGTGGTTCTCTAGGAAGCGCCACCACCAGTGGTCGAGGCTTGACATTGGCGAATGCATGTCGGCACGGCACGTTTCGTTTCGTTCCGTTTCGTTTCGTTGGCGGAAAACCCGTCTCCCGCGGTGACTAGTTTAGTCCTGCGTCTGTCGGTTGTTCCCGCTGCTCGACTCGATGTTCCTCGCGGGTATTTCGTCTCGTTCCGTTAGTGCTTCGCTATGAATGCCGAGTATCTTTTGGCGTTGGTGATCTCAAGATTTCCAAAGACCGAAGATGAGCTGAGCTGCAGACGAAAGAAGCCCACAACCGAGCGTGCATGTGTTCGTGCCGCAGACGTCAAAACGTGCGACAGCTCCCGTGTTATATAACAGCAAGAGAGCTCTCTACCCCCCAGTCAGGTCACTCCACCGAGAGGAAACAGTGAACATCCGCTCACAGACAATGGAAACGTTTTGTTGGAGACCATCGTGTCGTCATAGCGTTTGGAGAGCTGACTTTTTGGTTTCTTCTCCTGCTACAACAAGTAGCAAGCAAACGGCAGAAAGATTGCATGAACCATCCCTACACATTCCGAGAAAGAAGGAGGGTTACTTTGCAAAACGCTGGCGCGGAAGGGGAGAACATGGGTATCGGATGAGGGGGAGAAGCACAGAAGCATGAAGGATAGCCTCCGCACGGCGCACAGCTCGGCCGCGGTGCCCTCGCCTTCCCCACATCCGATACCTCCGCAAAGCCTCAGCGCTTGCGAAGGAGAAAGCTTGCTTCCAGGACAGCTCTGCTTGACTAGGGAAGTTCGGCCACTTGACAGACGTCTGTTTGGAACTTGAAAATGCCTTGATACAATGTGATGCGCCGGCCGACCGAGGCGAGCCTTAGACGAACCGTGACGTGTGACGGGGCCTATATATGAACCGAGACAAGCCTGCCTTTCAGGCTGTCAACCTTCGGTCTCGGCTTTTCAGCCATGCTTGCAAACCCAATATCCCGTCTTGCTCCCCTTTGCCGACTCTAATGACCGCCAGAACTTGGTCCATCCAGGACGTCCGTCGCTCCGCAGGTATTCCACTTCCTTCACCTCGCCCTCGCTCTTTTGGCTCTCTGCTGTAAGAAGTGCTGTGTAGAGTGATTGATAAAATAGAACCTGCTTCTCAATCTCCGTTGGCATCGCGTCGATGGGACCCAAGATGAGAGACTCCAGCTCGTTTGTGTCCACCTCACCGAGAGTGGAGATGAGGAGTGTTGTCACATTTGGTCGAGGAACCGGGACCCTACGAACGGAGCCCTCAAAGGAAATGTGTAACCGACGGAGGGCAGGAAAATTTGGCGCGATGCTTTTGATGATGTTCAGATACTGATCTCGGGGGCTCAGTGCGCGAAGCTCAGTGATTGTGGGTGCTCCAGGTGATGGCCGCGGGGACTTGTCTAACGATTTGTCGACAAGGGACTCATCACGGTCCGGTATGCGTATTTCTAGGGATGTGATCCAATTGAGCTGCGGCGTAGCGATGGCGTACGGAAAGTACATAGCCTCAAGCCTCTGCTCGAACTTGAACGTGTTGCTCGCGTACAAGACTTGTATCGTCTCTTCGTAGCTGCAAACTAGTCAGTATCTGTCATCTGATGTGACACAACCACCGTTGGTCTAATCTCATGCGTCACGATGAACTCGCCCAGGTGCGGAGAACAAACTCACGCTCTTCGGCATGTCAGTAGCCACGGGAGTATACCCAGATATGTCTCCTTAGGACCACACGTCTGGTAGAACCCTCTAGGACACTGATCAGACAGTTTGGTCTCGAGCTTCCGGTCCTCGGGGCCGCACACACAGCTCCACCAGTACCACTGCGGCGTCATACTCGCATCGGCAAAAGGCGGATCCATAGGCGACACGCTCGGTGAATGAGGGTACCAAGCCGGCACAGGCTGATGGCCTTTCCGCCATCTCACATCTGGCTGGAGGCTGCGGCGGTACAGTAAGTAGAGGTGTAGAATCTTGCGGCCGAAGGCAAGCTGGTAAATCTGGTAGCGGAGGTCAGACGAGAGAACCTCGAAGAACGGCCCCACAGAGCCATCCACATGCTTCTTCGCTTCCCTGGACGGCTGCCGTGTCCGAATGGGGAGGGAAACCCGGCGACCGGCGACGGCCTCGGCGTCGGGGACTGCTTCGGCTCGGTTGTCTCCCTTGATCGACGTGGCCGGGGCTGCGTCCGCATCCGGAGCGGTGAAAGGCGCGTCGCGCGGCATGGCCCGCGGCAATGTGTCGCGACCCAGGCTTGGTACTTGGAGGGGTAGTTCCGACATGGCTGCTGGGCGCCGTAATTGCAGAACAGGTTGCGGCGCAGAACTTGATGAGTTTGCCCGACTGTCTGCTGTGTTTGTGGAAGTTGAAAGAGCTCGAGAGGTTGCAGGAGTAAGGAAACCAAGGAGGTAAGGCAGCAGGTGGTCTTGCAGACTTGAAGTATCGCCCAAATGTACCGACTGGACACCGGGCGTGAGTCCGAGAAGGTCCCGGATCGGTGCAACTGCCCTGAATTTGTCGATAAGGCGGTAATCGGTACGTACTCTTCCTGAGGTCCCAGTCTCAGGTGGGTCCACTACACAGTATGGAAATTGGGAAGGAAGGAGCGGCTGGCGGGCTGATTACGGACCTTTTTACAGTGCATAGACTGTACCCTTGAATCCGGCCACTGAAGCAACCGCAAGCGGCCTCCGGTCAAGAACGCAGATGCGTCTGGGGGGATTCAGCTATGAAGGCAACTCTGGAAGAAACCAATCAGTAAGGCAACCCGGATCGGCGTTGCATCTTTGAGGGCTCAACCTCACGCTTGTCGAAATATCACTGGCAAGTCAGCCTCGGGAATAAGACAGATGATTCTCTTAATGTTTGCGACATGACAAGAGCCTGAGACTATGCTAGCAACTTTCCCAGCATCACGCCCTTGAACTAATGGCTGTCGGTGATTATCAGGCCTTACAGCCTCCAAAAATCTTCACAAGCAAGTAATGATCCCACCCGTCCAACTCTGTTTTCTCGTCGTTGCTTTCTCGTACAGGCTCATACATAAGCGGTAAGTGCTTAGAAACCCATCGCGATCAGAACCCAAACGACGATGCCAATGCCCGAAACTGTGAGCCGCTGGGCTGGGCTCTGAGTCACGACGGCTGGAGTGGACGTCGCGGTGGCAGCAGGAGGGTCGTCCGTCAGAATGAGAGTCTGGAACATCGGCCCATCAGGAGTCGATGTAGCGACGACAACGGTGACATTGCCCGGAGGAGATACGGCAACGGGAGGGTCGTCGTACGGGGTCAGGCTGGTGACGCCGGGGTCGCTGGGAGTCGTCTGAGGTGGCGCGGAAGGGTTGGTGTATGTCTCAGTCATCGGTGCAGCCGGCGGTGCGGTAGCCAAGGGAGGATCCAACTGGACACTGCCATAACTCTGAAGTCCAAGGGTGCTCTTCGGCGGGACATGAACGACGACCGTCTGGACGACAACGGTGGGAGCTGAAAGAGATGCCGGCGACAGGGTAGTGGGAGTGCCCGACAGCACGGTGCAGGAAGTTGTCAGATCGTCACTGCCAGGCGTGACGCTCTGGATGATGACGGTAGATCTCGTAGCCAGCTTCACGGTACGGGTGATGGGAGGGAGTCGGATGGTGGAATACGTGATATCTGAACCCGGATCATTGCCAACTGGACCAGTTGAGGCCGGGCCAGCGGGAGACGGAGCAGAGGGGAGCGGCATCTCCTTGCAAGCCTTGTACACATTGGCATAGCTGCAAGTCGGTGGATTGGAAAATCCACACTGGCCGAGCGCGGTGTTGCGGTTGCACGGGTAGCTGCAGAGAGCCTCGTTCACGATTGGGAAGCTCTGGATGCTGCTCCCACAGCGACAGCCACTATTGCGGAGGAAAATCATCATCAGTATTAAAGTGCAGTTGGGATGATAATGGAGGGAATGTCCAAGCATATGCACTGGAAGATGACTTACTCGGGGAAAGTAGCAGCGTAGTTGCGACCGGTACAAGCAGACTGGCACTGCTCAGGGGTGTAGCCTTGACCAAAGTCGACAAAGGCGTCGAACTTGTCCGAGGTGACACTGACGCATCCGAGATACTCGAAGCCGTAGATGACATGGTTGGCCTGAGCCGCAACCATGGCAGCCAGCAGCAAGATGAGAAGAGGCTTCAACATGTTGAGCGGGCGTCGGAAGTAACGAGCGGAGGTAGTTTTGCTCAAAGAAGGTGGGAAATTGGCAACGTCTTAGTGAAGGTGGAGGGAACGAGTGATGATGGACTCCCAGAGTTGACGGTGAAAGAGTGTCTAGAGAGTGATTCTGTGGAGGGTTGGAAGAATTTGTGGGAGTAGAAAAAGAGGCGAGACCTAAGGAATCCGTAAGAAGAGGCAAGAAAGGGAAGTCTCGACATCTTCCTCTGTCAACCTAAAGTTGCGGAAGGCAGGAATCAGGTACGGGAAGGCGGGAATACGTGCCTTCCTCACCTTCGCAGGTACGTACTCTCGTATCATACGAGGCGGGTAGGCACCCGCCCTACCCTGTGTAGAGGGAAAGAGCCGTATCAAGGAAGGGGCAGAGTGTAACATCACAATGTTCAAAGGAAGGAATGGCGAAGAATATGCCTTTGATTCTCTGCTCGGTCTACGTCGTCACAGATGGAAGGGCTCAACCTGGACAGCCCATATTCTTCCATGGCCAAGTTCCAACACCGCCGCAGAATGGTAGCAATCGTCAGAGCTCTCCTTGATCATCATGATACCCTCGAGGCGTGTGAAACCTCCAAGAGCAGTCTAGAGCCAGTGAGGACGGGCAAGGAGCGGTTACGGCGCAAGAGCCAAAACACAGCATCCCACCCGTCCGTGGCCGATCGAGTCTTCATCACCCGACTGCATACGCATAGAAATGTCCTCCGCCGCCAGACCTATCCTCGCTGGAGCCTATGTGGCTCGCTTGCTTTCGTCCACGATTCAGCAGCTTAGTGCTTCTTTCTTGACGACGCAGAGACGAGCTTCTTCTTGACGCTCTTGGGAATCTTCTCCTTGCGCTTCTCGCGCTTGGCCTCCTTGACCGCTTGCTTGTGTTGCTGTATTGTGTTAGTAACGCTATTCCTCATAGACCACTCGATGAGACTTGCCTTCTTCTCCTCCTTATCCTCGTGCTTGCGCCCCCTAGGCCGGCCCTTGTCAAACTTGGAATCATCCTCTTCGCCACTGGCCAAAGAAGCTCCACTGCCTGACTCGTCCTCTGATGTCTCTTCCTCCTCTTCCTCTTCCTTCTCTTCCTCCTTGACGACGGTATCGGCCAAAAGGTTCTTGTAGACAAGCTTATCACCGTCACCCTGCCCGATCTTGGCGGCATCCTTCTCGATGTCGTAGACCTGCTCGAGTGTCTGGGGAATGTACTGTTTCCGGAAAACCTCGTTGTCAACCTCTTGCTCGGCAGCGGCCTCCTCGTTGTCCGCGGGCCTGTTGGTGTAAAGCTGCTCGATAGCCTCGCCCAGGGAGGGTTCCTCGACAGGACCGTCTGTTGCAGAGATGAAATCAAAGATGCTGCGGTCGCTGAGTGTATCGACGCCCTTTCTCCTGAAAAAGTCGCCAACGTTCTTGATATCCATGCGCAGGAACTCCAACGCCCGCGGGTGATCGGGCTCAACACTCTGGGATACATCAATGATGTACAGCTTTCCGGCATTGTACAGGATGTTGTACTCGCTCAAATCGGCATGGACGAGCCTGCAAATCTGGTATATCCGGCGCATAAGGCCCAAAAGCTGGACGTACAGTGCCCTCCACTGCTCTTCGATGTCATCACCGGTCAAGTTGGCGTCTCTCAGACGGGGATACGCCCATCCCTTCTTGTCACCGAGGAAACCCATGGCCAGAACGTGTAGCTTCAGGCTGATGGGTTCTGGGCACGGGATACCGGCAGCGTGTATTCTCCTCAGGTTACGGAATTCCTTCTCAGCCCACAGCTTGACCATTTTCCTGTTGCTGCTCTTATCGAAACCCTTCTGGAAACGGTGCTCGCCAGCGATGTATCTTTCGCGATCCTTGAAGACGAGAATCGATGTCTTGTACACCTTGATGGCGCGCTGAACATTAGGACCGTCTCCCTCGGGATGCAGAATGGCGTGGTAGACGTTGGCCTCTTTTCCAGTGCTGATGGCACCGTGGATCTCACTGACGATGCCGCGGTTGATCATCTGCAGCAGGATCATGCGCGTGCGCTGATCCAGAACCTGCTCGCTCGTCGCGCGATCCGCCTTGTCCTTGCTCTTCTCGTCGGTATCCTTGACGCTATCCAACCTGATCTTCGCAGCATGCTTGGAGAGCGCGGTGATCTGGTCGTCGACGCTCGACTTGGTGTTCGCGGTCGGTCTCTGGACATTGGAACGGGGGACAGCGTTGTCGTTGCTATTGAACATGCGCTGGCGGTTGTAGGACTTTGTCAGATCGCCAGAGTCGGCCGTCCAGTCCTCGTCGTCAATCTCTTCATCCTCGCCAAAGACGTCCTCCAAGTCGTCGTCGTCTTCTTCCTGGCCTGCGGCATCGTAGGGCACGGTCCTAAGCTCGGCGGGGATGTCTTCGGTCTGTTCGTAGCCTTGATTGGGGCGGTATGTATAGGGGGGCTCATGGGGAGCAGCGGGAGACTCGTTGGAAGCCATATTGAGCGCTTCTCCTTTAAGTTGGCGATGCTCGTGATATAGCTTGTCTGTGGCTTGGTGCTGGCACGAGGCTGTTCAAGGTAGAAGCGGTAGGTTGCTTAGAGCGTGGATGTTGAGTACCCCTCTGCCCCTCCATCGTTGCCCGGGATTTTCGAATTTTTTATCTTATCAGCGGTGGCGGGCGTGGCGGGGTCGTTGGACTCATTTTTGGGGGGCCAATTGGGGTCCGTGCCCAATGATGAGTCAACACCACGGCGAGTGACTGCGGTTTCTCAGTGAATCAAGGTGAATCACCGCTGGAAATTCAGGAAGGTGAGCACTAAAAACGCGCTCGCTAAAGAAATAGGCGAAGCTCGCGCCGCATCCGACAGGTGGGTCCATTTGACGTGCTTTCCAAGTCAGGTACGAATAGGTAGGTACGGATACGGAGTACCTGCACCTCCCGTTAATTCTCCGGGGGTTGAGACACCTCAGGCGCTGACCGCCAACTTCAACTCCTGACAAGACAACACATCGCGAGCTGGGGAAAGGACGCCCAACTCCACCCCGACATCGCCTCGATGCGGCAAGGTGTCTGACTACCTATATGCAGTATGCAACATGCATACAACGCTTCTCATCATGGATCGCCTTGAGGTTGCGTCTGCCGCGGCATGCGAAAGTGACCGCCTCGGTCCACGAACAAGTCAACGGGGCTCCGAGATGTCGCCTCGGATGTGGTTCCTCAAGTCTCGGCCGGATCGTCTAGTCTCGACAGGCTGTTGTGAAAGTCCTGGACGCGTAAACTTTTCATCTTTGCTTTACCAATTACGTCTCATTCTAGGATACGAAGGCGTTCGCTTTCACAAAAGAGACCAAGGCAGGGCGTTCCAAGGTGCAATCCAGGCTAGTTCTGAATAGACATCATCATTCTCGAAACTCTACCGAACCCTCCCCGACTCTCTGTCTTCGCGTTCTGCTAGGCAGGGAGAGACTTACAAACTATCCGAGATATCCCATGTTCAACAACTCAGTCGGGCATGATTTCTCGCAACCTCGTCGGGTTCCGCCCATCATTCCAACGCTCTGGGCATCTGTTTGCGCTTGGGTCTTCATCATCCCACTTTACACATGGCACTGCCGTCCTGCCGTCACCGGCTGATGCGGTCTATTGTTCTAGTCACCACAAATTTGTTCTCCCGCTGAATTCTGCAAGATCATGAGCTCGCTCAAGCAGTCTGAGAGGCATTTAAATTTGCCGCCCGAACCTCCCAATTGCTTGGACACAAACTCTCGCCAAGATGTCAAGTCTCGCGGGAAACGGAGCTCTTTCTGTATCGGCCATGCATCTCGCGTGGCCAAAATACGTCGCGAGCAAATCCAGAACGATCTCTGGCCTCAACTTGGTTTACCCAAGGCAGGCGACGAGACAGCTGTGCTCGCATGCTTCACCCTTTAGGTTCATTTCAGCTACTGCAACTTCCAGGGGATAACTTTCAAGCTGATATCATGAATTTAAAGCTACGACGAACACTGAAAAGGTCAAGCTCACAGCTGGCTTCGTAGCTGAGCCTTCAGAAGTTCAGCCCCTTCACCATTCATCCCTTCGGAAAACAGCGCGGCCGAGAAGTGTGCCGATCGAACCCCCGCCGTTCCCCCTTGCCGAAAGTCACTATGCACTACCGGCAGCTGTCAACGGGCAAGCGAGATGGTACCAGGGCGTTGGTGCCGCTGCCGAAGCGATCATCTCCAGGCACGGCCCTTGTGCGTGGAGCAAAAGGTTATTATAACGTTTGCCAACCAAGTCTCCCAACGCTGCGCACAGCCAATGACACCCGTTCACCAGATCATAGGCAATAGTTCTCAGGCTAAGACAGGTCAGCCTGCTCATCCATGCACAAATAACCTCTGTCTCATCGCAATAAGGTAGTTCCCTATACTTTGCCTAGTCTCTGCTGCTTGAAACCAGCCGATGGCCAGGATCTGCGCTCTTGTCTTCTTATATCGTCAACCTTTCCTGCCCCAATTTGTTGTCTTCCACCTCTAAGTGACTGATTAGCGATGACTTTTTGATTCCATCATCTTTCGTTTGCGGTGAATCTTGCTCAGCATCAGTCAGCATCCTCCTAGCTGAGTCGCCAGGCGTGATGACTTCCTGCAAGCGTTGGGCCTGGCTGTTTGGGGTTATCGTCGTCCTTCTTACACTCACTACGCCCGGGAACGCTCATCACAAGAAGAAACCGGACACGTTAGCCCCGCCACCGGCCCCAATACCGAGACCGTCCATATCTCCAGGACCAAGACCAAGGCCTCCTCCAGCGCCTGTTCCGATAGTACCACCAGGTCCCAAGCCGAAGCCAACGGTAACTCCAACTTCAATACCAAAAGTACCTCCTGCTCCAGTGCCCATTGCACCGCCGGCGCCTAAGCCTAAGCCGAATCCACCAAAGGCAAAGCCCGAGTTTACAGAGGAGGAGATTAATAATGGAACGGCTCTGGCAAAACTCAACAAGAGGGCACTCGAGAATGTGCGGAGGATTAATGTGCCACAGAAACATCCAATATCCAATTTTACGACTAATGGTACGAGGTTGTGCCAGGGAGAAGGCGTTTTGATAAGGAAAGAATGGTGAGTAGCAGCACTTTGCCCACGTGGATTCCCACAGGCGGTTGCTTACTTCTTGACAGGCGGAAATTGACTGTCACGGAAAGAAAGTCGTTCATTACTGCCGTCCAATGCATTATGAGCGAGCCGGTCATATCCGATCCCAAGAGAGTGCCAATGGCAAAGTCTCTGTACGACGATTTTGTAGCTGTTCACTACACAAGCTTCCGCAACACACACCTTACAGTGAGTGTTTGCCATGATACGGCATACGTCATAGTGTCTACCTAGTATTTGGTATGCTGACGGTCATCCTAGGCCTCGTTCTTTGCATGGCACCGTTATTACTTGGCTAGCTTCGAGCAAAGACTGCGCACACAATGTAGATACAAAGGTTTGCATTTCGAGATATGTATCCTGCCATGACAACGTTTGCGAAACTCACTTCAATAGGTGCTCTTCCATACTGGGAATGGGGACTCGATGTAAACAACCCAGCCGCCTCGCCCGTTTTTGACGGCACCGAACTCTCATTGGGAAGCGATGGCGAGTTCATCCCCCATGATGGCCTACAGCTGCGTCAGCCCTTCTCAAACAACACCATCAAACTCAAGCCCGGCACCGGAGGCGGTTGCATCAAGTCAGGCCCCTTCCAGAACATGACTATCCATATCGGTCCCGCCGCGCTCGCGCAATACGGCACTACGAAGCCCTTCAACGTCACAGATCCCCTCCAAGACCTGCCTAGATGTCTGAAGCGGGACCTGAACAAGGACGTAGCCCAGCGGTTCAACTCATTCAGGAACACGACGACTCTCATTCTTGAGCAGACCAACATTAAGAACTTTTCTTCGCTATTACAAGGAGACGATCGCTTCTTCCCCAATACACTGGGAATTCATGGCGGTGGTCATTTCATCATCGGTGGGGACCCTGGGGCTGACGGCCTCATCGCACCCGGCGACCCGGCATTCTGGGTCCACCAAGCCCAGGTAGACCGTGTATACTGGATCTGGCAGAACCTTGATTTCAAGAATCGTCAGGGAGTCTTTGGTACGATGACTTTGCAGGATAACCCAAAGAGCCCTGAAGGTAGCGTTGAAGACGATATTGACCTCACGCCTCTCAACTCACCAGTAAAGATCAAGAACCTGATGAATACGGTTTCTGGGGCGCCGCTTTGCTACATGTATGAGTAGTAGAATTCTTTAGCGACTGTTCGATTTTCAATAGATTTGATACCCCTCGGCTTCTCCTCAAGGTACATACTCGCTGAACACCGATGACATCCTAATAGCGTTGGATTCTAGTAATACTCGAATTTCTTATCTCCCTATTGAAACTCCAGCCTAAACTTTCTTTCTTCAGGAACATACGAAAACTTTTTCATTTTCAGCCATAACAGAAGATAGCCTCGTTCACCACCGGCGTATTCTACTTACTCAAGTTGGAACCATGAGATTTAAACGTTGAGATCCGGTGGCGAGCGCCACAACGGCTGGTCATTAAACGGGTCCACGGGAGTTTTGTAAAGAGCGAACAACATACTTTGTAACTGGGTTTGCATTTGAGTTGCATTTGCGTTCCGTTGTAACTGGTCCACTATATAGAGATACTCTGTCCCGAGTCAGGATTTGCAATGATCTACCTCAAGCCGATGCCTTAACTCATAGAACTCTCGGGGAACTCTCCTCCGCCTCAAAATCGCCCCGCTCTCGTAAGTCCAGTGAGTGCGACAGACCAGACGAGAAGCCTTCTCGAAAAAGGAAGCCACTCGTTGCAACCTCAAACTTAAGAAAGAAAGAAAAAAAGAAAGGGAAAAAAGGGTGCACAACTTCAGTCCAACAGACCCAGCTTCTCAGTCATCTAGCGAAAGTTGGGACTGCCCTTCGTGGCCCGACATTCACCCCGTCCACTGTCCTCGACGAGGAACAACCTAGCGACGATCGAAAACAAGCTTTTCTAAGATTAGACGGTAGCGCCCACAAGAGCCGTACCGTACGTCCTCCCACTTCGGGTCCCCGCCGAGAGCCCCTTTCATCCTCGTAGCCTGTAGCTTGGGGGGACGTGCCCCGTCGTCGGTCGATCGGGCCCGTCAAAGCGTCACTCGTCAAGGTCCAACCCCGAGGCTTTGGGGGGAAGGGAAACGCGTGGCTCTGGTGATTTGAAACATCTGATGTTAGCTCTCCGCTAGCAGTCTGGTTTTGGTGTTGGAGCTTAGCGTTGGCGTTGGAAGGTGGTGAGTGTTGGTGTGGGTATGGCTTGTTTGTGTGGCGGTGACGTCTACAAACATTCTCCCAAACCCCGTTCAACGCATGCTCTCCTTCACTTAAAAGTCTGTTTGCTCATCGCCCGGAGCGTTTCCTTTGCAATTTTTGCCGAGAAGGGGGCGATTCTGTTGGTTTCCGTTTTCCGTCCGCTCATCAGACAAAGGAACTCTTTTCTTATTTTCAGTGGATAATGTCAGGTGTTATTGTCTAATTCGCTTCTGGTTCCTCTCATCCCATACTTCTCAAAGACGCCGCTTTCGACCATGCTGTTCCAACTCTGTGCATAACGGCATCCCACGTCGGGTTCACCACGTATGTTTTTCGAAAGTATAGCTATTAGCAGCATTCAGTTTGATCCCAACGCAAGCGAAATCTCTACAGACTTGTTGATTCCCTGATGAGAGACCCTAATCAGCGTGTAACGCAAACAAGGCATTGTGGAACCTCCGTGTAAGAAGCCAGGGAGGAAAACAGCATTGCTACCTTACACAGAAGTATCACGACGTCAAACAGACCAGGCCCTCAGACCGACGTCACCAACCACAAACGGGAACGTCTCTGCTTCTCGTTTTCAACCAGCGAATGAGGCGCAACGCCTTTGTTGCCGTATATCCGTCCATTTCGAATCCCTTATCTTGGGTAACGCGAACACGTCACCCGTCGTGTCTTACGAGACACTAGAGCAACTAGTAGCGAGTTCGACCCGTCTCGCCCGCTTCCCACCAAACGCCCAACGGTCGTTAGATTTCGCCACGGCGATTCGAATTTCGCCCTTTCTTCACATCGAATTCATCGAGCTGGATAGCACATTACACCACACTCACGATGTTGTCGATGCCAGCACCTCGGATGCTCTCAATGACGGGGCCGAGATCAAGTCGGAATGTCCCCATCGTATACGTCTTGTTGGTAATCTGCCTTCTACTATTCTTCGTCCAAACCGAGTTCGGATACACGGTCATTGAGAAGGTGGCCGATGCGAAACCACCCAAGATCAACAGCCTGACATCGACACCGACCCCAAAACCCAAATATAAGCCGCAGCCGACATGGACACCACCGCCCGTCAAAGACCCTTTCCCACTTCTGTCTTCGGGCATGCCACCGCCGGTGCCATCGTGGAATAGACCCGAAAGGCCCAACGTCTACCACAAATACTCCTTAACGACTGCACCGCCCCTGATGATTGGCTTCACGCGGAGTTGGCCGATGCTGCTGCAGACAGTCGTCGGATACATCACCGCCGGATGGCCAGCCGAGCAGATCTACGTCGTGGAGAATACTGGCGTACACGATTCGAATGCCCGGGGCCGTTTATCGCTGCAAAATCCGTTCTATCTCAATTACACGCAGCTCCACATGCTCGGCGTTCACGTCATGCGCACGCCGGTGCTGCTCAACTTTGCGCAGCTCCAAAATTTCTTCATCACAGTTGCAAAGGAGAAGCCGTGGTCGTATTACTTCTGGAGCCACATGGACGCTTTCGTCCTCTCCAGCGAGGAAGGAATCCCAGGAGTCTCTGGTGCGGTCGGCACGCCCGAGTACCAGACCATCTACGAGCTGGCCGTCAAGGAGCTGAATGAGACGATGCGATCAGATCACAAGTGGGGCGCACGCTTCTTCGCATACGACCACCTCGCCCTGGTGAACCCGCGCGCTTACGAAGACGTCGGTGGCTTCGACACGTTCATCCCGTACTACATGACGGACTGCGACATGCATTGGCGGCTCGAGGAGGCGGGATGGAGCATTAAAGAGGCGCAGGTGGGTATCATCCAGGATGTTGCGTCAGTGCTGGATGACTTACGCGTCCTGTACCGCGAGGGGGAGGTTCCCGAGGGGTTTGGCTTCACGGACCCGAATCCACCACAGAGCAAGGTTCTAGGCGAGGTCCCGCTAGAAGACGACAAGCGGAGCCTGCCGGTGCCTGACGCTGTTCCGGAATTGGATGAGACGGGGACGCCGGTGGATGATGCGGCTGATGGCGCGGAGGAGGATTCGACGACGACTGTTGATCCTTTGACGTCTTTCAGGAGGCTGCATAGAATCAGCCAGGATATGTTCAATCATAAGCATGCGGATCGCGAGAGGAATACTTGGCAGTTGGGCCAGAGGGGAGGAGATCCACGAGAGCCTTATTCATATGACGCCCTTGGATTTCAGATTGGGATAGACGTCATGACGGAAGCCGGACGGGAGACTTTCCGTCGGAAATGGGGCCATCGAGGATGTGATTTTGGCGCTGCTGGATTGAGGCCCAGCGATGCTTGGAAAGTAGAAAAGGATTGGGAATAATGGAGTTTAGAGATAGGGAAGAGGAGTACGGACATACGCGGAGTCGGCGTCAGGAAACAGGTTCTTAACAACTTCAAGTTTCTATCTTGCAAATAATGAAAATCAGATCATCAAACAAACTATCACTTTTTTTTTCTTGTTTTGTTTGATTCAATAGCTATCGACTCCCTCCGAAAGTGAAGAATCCATCCGTCATGTGGAGGTCAAACCCCAGAGACTGCTAAAGTGAGCAAGTGTTCCAATCCAGGATGTCAATTCCAGGCTGCAAAAGCATGAAAGGTATGCATATTGCTCTTCCAGCTTGTGCTACCTTGCCGAAAAGCCCTCGAGTGTAAAAGTCAGTTGAAGAGAGCCGAGGACCTTACTTACAAGACAACAGGGAATCAGCGTTGCATCGCATCTTCGAGTTGCACATGGGAGCTAAATCCGTCCAACCACGGCTAGCTGCTTACCAAAGTGGGGTAGACAGGTAGCGTTCTTCAGCAAGCTGGTTGCTCATCTTCCACTCTCACGAACATCCAACTAACAGCCACCGTCCTCAATCAACGGTAAAAGCCTCCCTCCGGAGGTCTTGACTGCGATTTGCACATCGCTCGGAGAGGATCAGGCAGGACTCTTGTCATTCTCTCGGACTTCGAGATATTTGCGGGCAATTTCAGCTCCCATCATATTCAAACATATCACCGTCACGACAAGTACCGGGAGGCGTCGACCTCGAAGGTCTAGCCCTCGTCCAACTCGCGATACCCGAGCGAACTTACTGCGCACCATAGTCACCAAACCAACGATCGCCGCGCATGTCTCTAGTGTCTATTGCCCATCATCACGGGGCGTCGTGCCTGCTATAAACGAGGAAGACATGGATTTCATCCTTGAGACAGCCTCAAAATTCGATGTCCCGATTCCGGAACTACTCCGTCTCGGGGGTGCTCACCCATCTCTTGAGGGTAGGCGGGGGTGGGCCCTCAGTGACGACGATATGCAGCGGCTCGTCACCGCACATACGCCCAACCTCGTAACACTCGACTATAGTATAGGCCGCAACCGGAATGCCCTCCAAATATTAACGATGATTCAAAACTCATCCTCTTTCCACCGCCAGCCCATGTTCCCCTTGTTGAAAAACGTCCACTTGCGGCTGTTCGGGCCCGGCACCTTTCTTCGGCCACTGAGCCAGATGGCTCCCAATCTTCAAACCCTTCGTATCCAGGGCGTAACGGCACCGATGGAAGGCTGGCACTTTGAAAAGGTCAAGGATCTCCGACTTAGCTCATCAAACTTTACGGGCTCAGAGCTTAGGGGCATTTTGACAGGGTGTCCCGGTTTGACGAACTTTGAGTACGATTACTATTCCCTCAGAGACGAGAGGTGTGCTCCTCAAGATGTGGTAGACGCTTTGGAGAGCTTTGAATCACAATTGCTGGGACTCTCGTTGAAGTTCCACTCTAATACATGGGCAGGCCGGAGAAGAGAGCCATCGCCCATGGATCAGAATCAGTCCAATTCAGGGCTCATCACCTCTTTAAAGCATTTCACAGCCTTGATCAATTTACAGCTTGACAGTGTCTGCTTGTGGAAAGACAAAATTAATGGGTCGACAGGCGAGGATCAAGAATATGGGACGGAACAAATTTTCATCAATCTTCTACCAAGGGTCTTAAGGAATCTACGACTCACATACAAGAGTCCGAAGCCATTCGGCGATGCTTTACCCGCCCTTGCGCACCATCTGAAGGATTGCTGCCCCGAGTTACAACTAGTTCACAACAAACTGCTTTTTGATGGCCCATTGTCTCAAGATCTCCTGGACCAGCTGCGGCAGGTCAGGGAACATTTTGTTTCACTAGGTGTCACTTTTGAATTCGATGTTTCTAGGCTAAACGGATGTGTATATGTCAACTTGGATGATGGAGGTCTGCCGGTTTCCATTGAAACGATGACTGAAGAAGAATGGATCCTTTCCGAATTAGGTTGACAAGAAAAACGTTGAGTTGTTTGTTGCATGAAGACTAAAAGATTAATGTATTTTCAGCATTAGTACTTTTCTCCTAAAACATTGAAGATACTAATTTTGTCACGTAATAAAGATCAACGATGAACAAGAAGCATACCAGTGACCAAGTAGCATTCAAGAGTCACCCGGACTAGTTTTTACTTGGTCAAGAGCCCTTTAAATTATCAATGACCAATTATGAACATAGACCAGTGTTCGTTAACTTGAATGACTCACCAAGAGACTGTGAGACATGAGAGCTTGCCATTGGCTGAGTGGTTCTTAGTAGGTAGGCATCACAGCGGGGTCGAATAGGCAGCAGTGGGCTCACAAGACTCCTGCAAACTTGTTGGATTATCTAGAGAACACGATTGGCACCTAAGGTTTCAAATACCTTGCGTCTTCTGTACAGACGTATAATTTCCTCCGTTACTTTGCCGCCTTTCTCAACGGTCTCAAGTTTCTCACCTCAAGATCTCAGCCGCAAAGAGTCGTTGACCGTACACCAAGCCCCCAATGACTACATGTACAACACTAGAGGACCTTCCGGCAGAGATTCTTTCCCAAATCTGCGTTCGATTGAAGGAAAATGATGGTTCGGACATATTGGGACTATCATTGACCTCGAGAAGATTTCGGGTTATCACGATTCCACACATATTCGGGCGACTGTCCTTTGTGACGCCTCCTTTCTCAAATGTCGTCGATGAGAACCCTACAGACAGCCGGATAGGCCTTCTAAGAACGATTATCACGAATTCTAAGATTGCCTTTGAGGTCAAAGAGATTGAAGGCTTACTCGGCGGAAGATGCCCAGTGGCCAGAGAAGACCTCGATATTATCATCCGGGCAACCAACGGCTTCGGAATAATACCACCAGGGGGTCTTGCTCGGATTCTCAAACAGTGGCAGAATTTTGAAACGTTACCAGACATGCAGTTTGGTCTCAATCGTGGAATTTACAAGGCCTTGAGCAATTTCATGACAGAAATGCTTATTGCCCACACCCCTAAACTCCGAGGTTTGGAGTACAATGTACACGGCTGCTCGAGCGCATCTCAAACACTTGAAGAGGCGATCAGAACCCACTTCAGGGTTCCGCTACTGCCCAATCTGGTAGATGCTTACATCGAATTGAACGGCTTGGCGGATCTGGTGCAAACTTTGGCAGAGGCTGCTCCGGCCTTAGACAGCCTCTGGCTGAGTTCCGTTTGGGGACTTCAATCTGGGCTTCATTTTAACAGCGTCAGAGTCTTGATTTTGACCAAAGTAGACTTGACTGCTGTCGAGCTCAAAACGCTTCTGAGCGGTTTCCCTGGTCTCAAGAAGTTCTGGTTCACATCAAGCCACTGCTCGATGCGTATCGGAAGCACATCCCAGCTATGCCGACCCCAAGAGGTGGTAGATGCCCTCTACGCTCTTAACCTAGGGATCACAGAGCTGACGCTACGTTTCAATTCTTGGGGTTGTAATGAGCCAAGCCAGGATTCTCATACCCCTCTCCCTGGTCTTCTTACCTCGATTCAGGGGCTCGATAAATTGGAGGATCTTGATTTTGACGGGATGTGCTTCTGGGGTAGAAGTGATTTCTCACATGGATCACAGACTTATGATGCTGTGAAAGTTCAGGCTCTCGCGAGGCTTCTTCCTCGTAGCCTCAAAAAGCTCACGTTAACGGATTTGAAGGATGGCCCATTTTATGAAGATTTGGAAGCATTGCGGGAGAGGATATCGGAAATTCTGCCGGAGCTGGGAGTACTGCAGTGTGGACTACGGCATGGAAAGGTACTGCCACAGGATAGGGTGCAATGCCTGATGGAACGCTTCGCGGCTCAGGGAGTCAAGTTTCAAGACTCGTCAAGCATTCATTCTGGCGCCGACGAGGACAATTAGATAATTGAGACTTGGCCTACAAACTTGCCCATTTGGATCGAAATTGATTTCAACTAGCCCAAAGACTTAGAAAATCGCTTCCCGCCTGTCTACATTCAGACCGAAATTGATCCTAAGAAGCTTTTCACGTGTTGTGAAGGGAGCTAGGTGGCATCGTCAGGTATCTGTGGTGCTGCTGCGATGCTCACGCTTCATCAGTACTAAAGTCAAGACCGCACCACGATTAAGGGATATCCGCATCGAATTTGACACCTCTTTTGATGCTGGGACTGGATTATCGTGGTTGCTAGTCAGCGAGTCTTGGCAGCTGGGATATTCGGACTGAAAACTCGCTTTTGTCCTTGGCCTGCGTCTTAGAGCCTTGGCAATTAATCATCATCTTATCGAGCTGCCTTTTGTGAATCTTCCCCCTCTCTGCGGAGTTGCTTCCGCCCCAACCTCTTCTTGCCTCTGGGTAGAGTGGCCGACGGTAGCCACATGCATCAACCCGTAAGTTGATGTCTAAGGAATAAGGCGACTTCTTTGTACTCAGGAATAGCTTCAAAGGTCCCTGCGGCCTCCCAAGCACACACTGTCGTTCCAGAACCCCATGGCCCAAATCCGAACCATTGCCAGGAAGCCGCAGGTCACTTTTCGGACTGAACAGGGTTCTTACCGCCGCGCGGGGTGACACTCGGGGGTCTAGCCAGGCCTACCCCGGGCCATGCAGATCGGCTCGTTCCACTAGCACGCTGGCCACCAATCGTTGCCGTTGAGGGAGCTTTAAGCTTAAACTTTAAGGGCAGGTGAGAAGGATTTCGAAGGGTTGCGTGCGAGTTGCGTGCCCGGGTCGGTTGGTATAATCGAACATGTCAACTACCCGCCTTCCTCATTCTGTTCAAACTTGTCTGCAAATCATCAGTCGGATGTGCTGGATAATTGACTTGTGTATGCCTTGGCCTTGAGTGAGGTTCGCTAATCTCTCCCCATATCCAGGTAAGGAAGGTGATCAGATAACATTGACAGTCAAACTCAGATATTATTCAAGGTTTGCACTAAGCTAGCACAGGTCCTCGACTGACAGTCTGCCGCCTAACCAGTTCATAGGTCCTATGAAATAGAGGCTGCCCAAGCTAAGTACGCAGGCCCCATACTGTTCATCCCTCCTTCGAGGTGGAGTTGTCGTCTCGGCAGTGGCTGGTCGGACCCTTGACGACCGGTTTGTGGCACCCGAACTGGTCAGACCATGTCTTCGGGAAGGCCAGCGACGAATGGCAGAGTCCCTGGTGTTCCTGAATTGTACGGATACAGTCAATCCTTTGGTAAATTTGACCACGGAATTGTAAGACGAGTGACTAAGGTCTTTGTTTTGCGGGGATGCTGAGGATTAGACCGCAACCCCAGAGCTTATCAGGGTACGACCAAGACAGCAGCAATCACACCTACCACTTTCTGCAAAGGCCCGTCGGTGACACTGGATCGAAATCGCTCACTGAAAGGCTTCAACTGGTGACATCAGGATCCGATCTCCATAAATAGGGACGGGTGATCGCTCCTGCTACCCCGACTCTCGGCCAGCACTCCAGTCTTCGACTCACTGCATCGTCAAGCCGCTTCTGGAGTCTGCAGTTGACAATGAAGTTCCTCGCTGCCCTGTCTCTCGTCCTGCCGCTGGCATCCGCCGCGGCAGTGGCTCCTCTCGAGAAGAAGATCACCTATGATGGCTTCAAGGCCTTCCGTATCTCCACACACAACGACCCTGCGTCGATCAAGAAGAAGATTGCCAACATTGCGGCGATCCCATTCAATCTTGACAACAGCGAACACCTTGACGTCGCCATTCCTGCTGGCGATGTCTCCAAGTTCGAAGAGCTTGGGCTCGAGACGTCCATCCTTCATGAGGATCTTGGTGCTGACATCGCCGAAGAGGGCACCTTTGCTCCCTACAAGAGTAAATCCCCTATGTAGACCTTAAGAGAAGGTTCAGTGAGGATGACTTGTTCTGACATTGAACAGGCAACGACGATATCTCTCTTCAGGCTCTCCCTAGTCTGACTTGGTTTGACTCGTACCACACTTTCGCCGACCACCAGCAGTTTATCCGCGACCTGCAATCCAACTTCCCATCTAACTCCGAGTTGATCAACGCGGGTAACTCTTACGGCGGACGTTCCCTCCTCGGTATTCACCTGTGGGGTAGCGGTGGCAAAGGCTCCAAGCCTGCCATCTACTGGCACGGCACCGTCCACGCTCGCGAGTGGATCACCACCATGGTACATTGTCCGAATTTGATGTCAATATGATTCATGTTGCTAATCTGCGACAGGTTGTCGAATACCTCACCTACCAGCTCATTGATGGCTACCAGAAGAATGATGCCGCTGTCAAGGCTTTGCTTGACAAGTACGACTTTTACATTCTGCCCATTGTCAACCCTGATGGTAAGACGCATCCAACAATGAACCATCACTTTTTGGCCAAATAGCTGATTTTACCAAGGTTTTGCCTACACTCAGACAAACGACCGCCTTTGGCGCAAGAACCGTCAAGTCAGATCCGGCAGCACTTGCGTCGGTACTGACATCAACCGGTGCGTCCATCACAGCATCAACTACAAGAACCAGAACTGACGCTCGATAGCAACTGGCCTTTCAACTGGCAACTCCCTGGCGGCGCCTCCACTAACTACTGCTCCGAGACCTACAAGGGCCAGGCCGCCGGCGACACCCCCGAAATGGTCGCCCTGAAGGCTTACACCGACCGCCTCGCCGCTGGCAACGGGATCAAGCTGTTCATCGACTGGCACAGCTACGGCCAGTACATTCTCCTGCCCTACGGCTACGACTGCTCCGCCCGAGCCTCCAACCATGCCCGCCAGATGACTCTCGCAACAAGCACTGCCAATACCATTGCCCAGGCCTACGGCACTCGCTTCACCTACGGACCCAGCTGCTCTACTCTGTATGCCACCACCGGTAGCGCTCCGGACTACCTGACCGGCGCTGCTGGTGCTGAGGTCGCTTGGACTATCGAGTTGAGGCCCTCCGGGTCTGCTGGTGGTGGCTTTGTTTTACCTGCCGCTCAAATCCTTCCTAGTGCGATTGAGCAGTGGAACGGTATGAAGTACTTGCTCGCAAACGTATAGTCGAAGCGATCAGATTTCATAATTTGCCGTCGATGTCTAAGTCGCGGAATTGTAGCGTTAGGCTGTGAGAGACTGGAGTTAAGAATGGGAATAGTTACAGAGCTGTCTTGTTACACATCAAGAATCCTGATTTTGAACGCCCGGTGTAATTATTTAGACCGACGCAGTAATTGCTTGAGTAGATGAGTTCACGCTCTGATGACGGACGGCCGTTACTATAAGCTGTACCTCGACCAGGGTGGCGGCAACCAAAAGTACCTATGCTCCATGACGGTCCACTAGTAGGCGCTCTGCATCGATGGCGCCTGGTCCGGTTAGACGGCCTTCGTCGTGCGTCAAGCAGCGGTCGGTCCCTGATGCTAGACCCTCCCCTGCGGCGGCGCGGACTAGATAGCCCGTTGGGTCTGGCGGGGACAGCGACCTGAACTGTTTCGCTGGGCCAATAACTGATGATCAGATATCTTATTTTATTATACAGATCTCTCCGCCTCTTCTTTTTCTATGATGTACGAAGACAGGACATAAAATAACAAGAACAAACCCCTTGTCCAACAGCGCGGTAAATACAAAAGTCCGCTCAACTAAACTTCCATGCAATGCCGAAAATCAAAGCTGTTCAGGCTGCTAAGAAGTATCGAGGCATCATGGCCAGCAATTCATCTACAAATTCTTTTAGAGGGGCTGTTGAATTCGGAGACAGCAAGCCTCTTATTCTCCATGTGCCGAGGAATCGACTCTCGTGATCTATTTATAAGCAGAGGCAGCTTCAGGTCCTCCCCGACAGACTCTTCGACACAATATGTGTCCTGAAGCTCCTTGTTGATGATGATTCGGGCATCAGCTTCCGTCTCGAACGTATTCAGAAATGTGGCATGTCCCATGTCCAGGCTCGATGATTTCGGAAGTCTCATCAGACACTCACTGACGAAGTCGCCCTTGTCCATAGTCTTATAGAATACCAGCTCCCCTGAGTTGCCGTACTGCCGGATGATCGATATCTGACGACCATTTTGCTGCTGGCTAAACACGACTGCATCCGTGCCTAGCGTCGGTTGACTCTCGACAGTGGTGGGAAGCTGCATGAGATGCTGCTCCTTGGGCGCGAGCTCACTCTGGCCTCTAGATAGTGTTGCGCTGCCGAAGAGCTTGGGTGCGCGTGGCTTGAATCGCTGCAGCTCCCTTGCAATGGGTACCATCACGAACTCCTTATTTCCGCCAACCTTCTCGCCGTGGATGAAGTTACCGCAGTGCGAGAACGACAGCCCCTTGAGTGGATTGGCCAGAACCGTCGTCGTGTTCTTGCCTGCTGTATGTAGCGTAAGTATTAAGTACTCACGAAAGGAATGGGAAGTAAATAACAGGCAGGCTGCATTGAGGTCCTTACACTCTTCTTCGAAAAACCACAAGCTCGTGACTGAAAGCTGCGAAATGGCCAGGATCGGAAGTGTCGGATGGAAGGCAAAGGCTTTATTCCCAACATGAACGTTCACCTTGACCAAAGTCCGGGATACTTTTACGAAGTTTGGCTCGCGCCCAACAGCGCTCTCATCTCTGTACACCAGTAAATCCATCCTGTTGAACATGTACACCCCGTTTGGTTGGCCCGGGCCACGAAAGACAACGAGATACCTCGACATGGGCGAAAAAAAGATTCTGTACCAGTCGTAACTGCAAGGGCATCGCCACCCAATGGATGTGGTATGCTCTTCCAGCTGACAATGATCAGGATCATAAACGCCGGATATCTCTAGATCCTGCAACGCACAGCTGCTGTTGCTCAGATGCAGGCTGTCACTAGGCTGAGATGGCAATACCCGTATGAGGTATTTGAGGACCGTAATTTGTCGCAGGTCCGGCGAGAAGGAGGCAGGAAACTCGAATATTTTGGGCTCCTGGCTCGCGAATGACTTCTGAAGCAGCCGTCTGATTTGTTGAGGGGGTAGGTTTAGTCGAATGTTGAGGACCGGATCTTGGCTTTGCACGTCCTTGATCTCATATGTTACCTCCCAGCCTTCACTCAAGTCATCAAGCATATCTCGGAGGCGGAAAGTGTCCGGGTTCGCGACAATAGTCTCAGTTTGGTATATGCTTCGAGGCAATCAGCTCGCATCCTTCATTGGGGCAACACAGTAAAGGGAATTACCTTGAAGGCCAAACCTTGATTAAGCCAACCTCCAGCCCGTCCGAGCTACAGTCAGAAGAAACCACTACGGGCTCCGATACTCTGTCCTTTCCCGAAGGTACGAGTGAGGCGCTCGTCTCACTTAGTGAAGTGACCGTGGCATCTTGGCTCTGTACCCAGAACGGCGACTTCATGAATGCCGAAATGCTTGGTTCCCAAATCTCCCAAGGATCTATTGCCAAAACATGTCTCCACTGGGTGTTCATCCTTTCGAGATCACGAGCAAAGTCCTCCAACATTCTCCCCAACGCAAGGTCTCGCAACATGGACAGTTTGAATACCATTGATGGCAGTTCTCCTAGGGATGGCTCCACTCGAAATGTCCAAGCCGCCTCAGTCCAACCAGTGACGACGGCGGGGTCTGAAAGAAACCGATCCAAGTTCTGAATCAGTGTCGCCATGAGTGGATCTTTCTTAGCAACGAAAGTGTTCGAGGAAGGCTCCCAGCTTTCCAAAGCCTTGAACACGTGAAACCCCCAGAACTGGGTAGCATAAAGCATGAGATTGTACTTGGCCAGGACTTTAGGGCTCGTGACATCCGTGCCAATGGCGGACGAGAGAGGCACTCGGGGTCCGTCGTGAATGATATATGATAGGCAGTCCGCCGCGATACAACGGTGAACGGCGTCCACGTCAATCCTGAACGGGCTATCTTTTGGTGGAGGGGCCCCAAACTCAACCATCGCTCCGGTAAAGAACTCCAAGACAGACGCGTGTATGAACCTTACAGTTTTGTCGCTGGCGACCTCAACCAGGGATCCTGTCATCCTTATAATAGACTGTTCAAAATACTTGATTCTCTGACTGGCTTTCGTAGCGGAGCCAACCCGGAGAGCAATTGCTTCACGTAACTCTCTCGCCGTCAGAGGGCGGGCAGCGACACAGATCCAGTCAAATAAGCGCCGCAGGTTCCTTTGAGAGCCCCTGCTCTTGTGTAAACTGTGCAGCTTGTGGAGAATCCTGGCGTATAGCGAGTCCAGCTCCGGGAATAGGCTCATGTCGTTGATGACCTCCAGCCGGTCCTCGGGCGTCATCATCTCGGACTTAAGGTGCTCCACCAGCAGGCTTGCCCAAAGGAACATGGAGCGCGACTTTTCCGCTATCATGTATGTGATTTCCTCGGCCGTGTCTTCCAATATTAGTAGCTCACTCTGGACGAGCTGGTTGATTTCCGGGAACAGGAAACTCTTGATGTCTTGTAGATTGCCCTCTTCCTCCAAAAACACGCTTTCCATCCCCCTATGGATGTAGCGGTGGTAGTCTATGTTCGGTCTGCTGGAAAAAATGATTCGGGTCTTAGTGGAGGCGGTGACGGCTAGAATGTCTTGAAGAAAGCGATGAACGTCGATGCATTCGTCAAGTCCGTCTAGAACTAGGGTTGGCTCTCTGAGTTTGCGAAGAATCAGTGACAAGAGAGCTTTCAGGTCCTCTGTCGACCCGTTCAGTTGACCACTACCAGAAAAGTCCCTGATAATGAAACCCAAGTCCATTAATTCTGGGTGATCTTGGTTCTGGTGAAGTAATTGGGTAATGATGGCCCTGAATGCGTCTGAGTAGTCGCGCTCTGACGCGGTCTGCTTATCAAAAAAGTAAAAGACAACACTTCCCCCAGGTACGCCATCTTGCTTTCTATCAGCAGAAGCGCGAAGAAGGTCTTCAATAATCTGCGTGCACAGAACAGACTTGCCGTATCCAGGCTTTGCTAAGTCGAAGGCGCGTTAGCGATGACTTTCCTACAGACAGAGTACCACCTTCTGACCTTGGAGCGCGAGGATCTGCGAAAACAGTGTGTCTTCATTGGTTGGGGCCTCCGTCTCTTGGCCGTTGTTACGGAATGTTTCCATCCACCCTTGGTAGCACGGATGATCCAGAATCCAGGTGGAGGTATTCGGGTGGCGACGTCTCTTAGCATTCTCAAAAGCAGTCGTCCAGGGATCAGGGTTCAGCCATTGCTTCAGGCTTGCGAACTTGTTTTCTGGGGTCGTCTTCAACGTCAGAAACAGGTGCGATAAATCATAAGGAATGTTACATACGCTTCAGTTTGTCAACTTCTTTCTGGATCTGTGCTAGCCGATCCAGCTCGTCCTTGTTCTGCTGCTTCAGCTGTTGAAAAGCCATGATACGCGCGGTCATCTGCTCGCTCCGGAGACAGGACTCTAGGAACGCCTGGTGCGCTTTGAACTTGCGCCGAAAGTCCGCAAAGTGGTCATCGAAAGGGACCCAAAAGATTTTGCCTAAACGTAGCATATCTTGAAATCCTGAGATGGGACGATTTAGCCTCACCATGGATGAGATAAGAACTTTGACTCACGGTGGTTCTTCCTTTTGGAAAATAGATTGCAGACTGTCCATAGTAGCTCCAAGACATCGAAGTATAACATGACGAGGGCGTCGGCCATCATCCTTGTACATGTGGCAAACGCCGACTTATTCAGGCCATGGGCCATCTTCATAGAGCTTAGAGCGTACCGCTCGTGCAATCTCAGATCGTTAGTCACCTGGCTGATCATATCTGCGAGCTTCTCCATGAAGCTTTCGTAGTTCCTGCACAACTATCTCCTGTGAGTTCAATCTCCTTGTGCAATTCCTGTAGACCGCCCTAATGCAGATGCAACTTACTTTGAATAGGAACTGAACAGTGCCCCAGATAAGACCGAGGATTTCAGGTTTGACCGAGGAGTAGCTATCGATAGCGGAAAAGTACGGCTCGAGTCGCTTGGACAACCCAGCCATTGACTGGCAAAATTTATCCACGCTCTTCGGCATAGACGGGAGTCTGGAGTCTCCAACAGCCAGAGCTTTTATGTGCGCTTCGACATCTTGTCTCGTTCGGAAACTCTGCATCTGAGCTCTGTCCTCTGCCGGGACGGACAACAGAAACCTTTCCATTACAGGACGAAAGATTTCATCGATTTCACCGTCCGTCAAAGGATAGCTCGCCTCTTCGTTACCGCCGACTGGATTTCCATCGTTGCGACTCATTGAAACTGGGTTTGCTTGATATCAGTCGATGATAATACAAGACCCTTTGCAACAAAATCAGGCGTCTCGGCCCAGGGAAAACTGATAGGACAGGTTGTCAATGTTTGTCGAAACAATGCGTGGGAGCCATGACTTATGTATGCGGGCCTCCCAAGCCTTTTGATCAGCAGAGGGGGCGCCTTAAAAGTCTGCCTACCCAGCAAAACGCAAATCGCCAGTGTTTCCCAAAACCACCACGCGAAGAGCTTCCTCATCTCTGACTGGACCACGTATTGCAGAGCCAAGACCACCCAGCTGCACATCGCCCAGAGAGGAGATTCTGTAAAGCGAGTCACTTCATCGACACCCTGCAAATAAGGTATTCTGGTTGACGCTCGCCTCCCTTGTATGCCTTGTCAAGGTTGACAATCTGCCAGACAATGGCTGACCTCTGATCTCGGTGGTTTCTCGTCGACTGGGACAGAGGGATGTGTGGATGCGTTAGGCGTCTGCACCTTCGTCCCTCGGATGTTCAATGGTTAGGTCCTCGGCCTTCAGTCTCCGAAAGAATGACCACTTTTGCCACTCCCCAGCCTGCTTGACTGATGCGACATGCAGAGAATCAATGGCCTGGGCAATGTCATTGGCACAACCCTATGCGCGTGTGACGTGTCCTGATTGGGCACATCGAAGATTTAGGTAGGCTCCGTCGTAGAGACATCTGCCACTCAGGCTTTCGTTGTAAATAGGTACCTGAGCGACTTTCTTGTCCATGATTTAGTGAAAAAGGAGCAGAGCTTGAAGTACAGGTGCTCTAATGACGTCATGGTCTAGCTGTGAGTGAGTCGCGGAGGTTCTAGTCTTTAGCTTTCGCTTTCGTTACCCAAGATAACTAATGCGTCCAGGTGTAGTTATCGCGATGACTACCTACTCTCTTAGAGGCATTAAGACAGGCCGCTCTAGGCAACGACTCTGCTGAAAAGTCCATGACTTATTATCCGTAGTAAAGTATCGAAAATGTTAGTTAAAGTGAGCCTGCTTTGGCGGTTGAAAAATGGTCATTCTTCATGACAAGGTAAAGTCAGATAGATATTTAACAGCAGACGGTTCAACCCGCCTGATCAACTGGTGAAGATGTTTTCATTTTTTTCTTTTGGGTGTCATTTTACCCCCCCCTCTTCGTAATATTCCGAGTGGTCGTCATCGTATATGCCCCCTACAACCATCATGTCACCAATCTCACCCAGGCCATGAGGGTATATACGGGGGTCCGGCGCCCCAGATAAAGCATGGAGCCTCATCAGAAGCCACCTCAGGCGAAGCAAGTCTCGATCTGGGAGCTGATCCTGGCTCTCAGCCGAGATCTCAATGATAGATCCATCTTTGATCGGGCGAGAGTTGACGTGACTCCATTCCTCTTCGAGAAAAACATCGCGGGGGTCTGTGGAAAAGGACTTTGCAATCCTGCTAGCCATAGACGCAATCCTAGTACGTCTCAGCCAATGAACCCTTAGTCGAATTCTGGGCAGGGATGAGTCGTCGTCGAGTGATTCAAGGGGCTCCAGGGCGAAGAGCCCTTCGGACCAACTGGGCTCTAGCTGACGGCTTAGACACAGCATGTGCGTCATCATGGTTGTAATGCCCTTGCGGCTTTCCGAAAGCTTTGCCTTGATCCTGGCATAAAAATCTTCATCCCATCCGACCACTTCTGCAGAATGTACAAAGCTGGTCAGTAGGAACAGACTTTCAGGAGGGCAAATAATTGGAGCGACGATGTAACAGATTTCCGGGTCCGCAACACCAGTAGCAATGCAAAGACCCCCATCGCGACCCCGTGCCTGACACGTAGTCATTCGTACTATTCCAAGTGAAGCAAATTTCTATCCTTACTTTTGTTCGTTCGAGTTCGAATTGGGAATGTTGTTCAGGCGTCATGGTGCCAGATCCATCATCAGGAACCCACTGACTAAGAACTATCGCATTATTAGCATCTTGAAGTAAGATCTTACTCAAATAGCATCGCAGGGTTACTTACATAGTCTGATAAATCGCGGAAAAGCATATGTGAGATGCTCGAGACAACGTATGTATGCGCTCTTCTCTTTCATTGGAAGGGGCCGAAGGGTTTGCAATTTGTGCAAGAGGTCCTGAAGCAGACCGATCTCGAGGACCATAAGAAGACTCCAGAAGCCCGCTCTATAGATGCCGAAAAAGCCTGTTCGTCTCTTGAAATCAAGCTCCTCCCGGATTTTGGTTATCAAGCTGAGCCTGGTTTGCATTTCGTTGTCCTTGCCATTGTCCATGGTCGGTTGTGCCGTCGTACCACTACTGGCGCCGTTGAGCATTCTCTTCCGGAGTGAGTTAGAAAGATGCGGTAAATAGAAGTAAACGAGAGACCACTGAATGGGTATTACCTGAGCATACGATGAAAAGAATGGTGCACCTGCCGTATGATCGCACTTTGGCTGTCGAGAGGTGGAATGGAGATGAGCTCGTGATCGGAGATAGCAAAAAAGGGTAGAGGTCACCTTGGGAAGAGTGCAAACAACAGAGCGCCCCCTCGACAGATGGGGGTCAGCAAGGAATTATGTTGCTGGAGAGTCACAACCGGAGATGGCGGGTGGCGTAAGGAGTAATGCTGGTGCGTGTTTGTTTGTCAAAGTTAAGGCACAAATTGGTTGAAATTTCCGTCAGAACACCCGAACAACAAAACCTGAAAGCCATCAATATGCTCTACCCTTCATCTCGTTCGAATTCCTACACAGCGCCGCTTTCGAGCTTTGACGACCTTGCGACGCTCGAGGCCCTCCACCGCTTTGATGAGGCAAGTACCTTGAAAAATTGGGTTCAGAAACATCATGAGAAAAAGACTCTATATTCTCCGTTGTTTCTCTGCATTCAAAGAGCACTCGTGCTTCCTTCGGTCCAGGCCTTGTATTGTTGTGGCCAAGGTTGAACACAGGCAGTATCTTATATTTGATTCTGCATCTCTTCGACTCTATGTCAAATTTTCCATGGTGCCGAGCGCCCAGAGCCAGCCTACCAGTCTCGGCATCTCATCTGGGTCTCGAACTTAGCCTTGGTCACCGGGCAGTGGAGTGCCTACGAAATTTGGGACCCGATCAATTGCAGTTGGAGATCACGATACATGGCTATGCCGCGGGACATGGACCGAGGGCTAGTGACGTTTATATGACGAAGCCACGAGTTTAGCTTTGCCTACATAAAATCTCCCAGATGGCTGATTTTAAGTCCACAGGGAAAGGCTGGCTGCTCATTCGTTTACTGGCCAACGGTCTCTTTCATTCATCTAAGCCCGAAATAGAGATATGGCATCTGTGGAAAGATCAAGTCTAATGAAAATTTACCAATGACGTTTCGTCATGAACATCCAGTCTTCAACTTCCCACTCTGATGAACTTCCCTTGCAAACCACTGCAGTCTCCTTATCTGAAAAGCTCTATGTCTCTAGCACGCTCCAAGAATCCAAGAAGATTTTCTTTGAATGGCTTCTCGTGACGGCGTGACGTCTCCTGTCCCTCTGCCAATGCCAGCCTGTAGTCGTTGCCCATGGTGGTGGAAATTTTCTTAACCTCGGCCACCATGTCCTCGCAGATGTCATCAATAACTTCCTGTATGTCATCTTTGACGTACTCTGTTGCTCTGTGAAACATCTTTCTCTTTCGAATGGAGACGTGTTCCTCAATCGTGGCTCTCATCGCCTTGACTGATCCTTTTCCTATGCACATTTATGTCAGCCCACGATTTTGCTGCGCTCAAACTCGAGTTATTTTCAAACAAGATAAGTTGCTTACCACAGATTTGAGCGCAGAGCGCATAGCCTGGAGCCATTGCCTTGGCGACTGGTACAGTCATTGAACGGTTTGCTTCTCTCGTAGCTTCGTTGACTCGACGCGGGCTAAAGACCACAAAGCGACTGATTTCTCCTTGGTGAAATTTAATCTGCTGGTCCAGAAGCCTGATTGAGTAAATGCTGTCGTCGACTCCTTGACATCGGAGTATCTGCATGACATCTCTGTGGAACTTGCCAAGTATATCGGTGGTGGCAAGGGCGAAGTTGGACAGCTCGTTTGGAAGCGTGATCTGGAAAAATCTTTCCCATGTATTCGCAATTAACAGAATAGGTTTCAGTAAGTCTTCGTTGAAGTTGTGTGACTTGAAGATTCCACCACGGCGGAACGCTGCCTTCAGTGTGCTGTGGTGGATGCTGCCCCAGCGACGAACGGTGTGATCTGCTGCCTTTATGGCAGTGGCGCTCAGGCGATCCATCTCCTTGAATAGGATGGTCTCTGTTTGCGCATACACTTTCTGGATGCAGCACTCGACTTCTGCTTTGAGATTCTAGGATGTCTTGTTAGCCTAGGCAATATGATCGAAAGTAAGAACTCTTACATTGTCAATCTTGGCCAGTTCGTTCATGAGCCAGTCTTCGTCAATTCCAGTATGTGCCGTTCCTTCGGCCCAGATGGCGACTGAGTTCAGGAGAGAGCATACTCCACTCAATACTTCTTGGTAGTTCACGATGCGAAGTTCTTCTGTAAGCTTTTGAGCATGGTCTCGAAGCTGAGGGATTTCGGTGTCATTCTCGCACGTGAAGCCAGGTGTCTCTTCGTTTTCAGATTCAACGAGACCTTTCATCTTCTGATACATGAGACTGCTGGTGCAGAAGATTGGAGTTGATAGAAACATCTTGTCGTAGTCCCTGGGCTCCTCAGAAGCCTTGCTGCTCGCGGCGTGTTGCCGATCAAGACTATAACCGCTTTTAGTAAGGGAGTTTCAAGAACGCTTTGAGCCCATTAAGGTGCTTACTCTTGAAAGTCTCTAATCAGGTCTTTTTTGATGGCTTGTCGGGCAAGCTCATTACGTTTCTGTATGAGACTCACATGGACCTTGTCGATCATTCCTCGTCTCACTTCCTTCAACTCCATTCGGTCCTTGTGTAGCTGGTTGAAAGACCTTCCCCTGTCATCTGATGCTGATGCTGGGTTGTAAAGTGATCCGAGTCGTAGTCTCTTGGCAGGGCGTCTTACATCCACGTCAGTTGTAGAGACGCGGGCTGTCTTCTCTCCATTCTGGACTGCCTCGAGCTTCGTATCCAGACATCTGATACGGCGACTGAGGTCTTGAACCTCGGACCATGCCTGCTTGGTGTCTTCGTCCAACTTCGTCCTCAGGCTTTCCATACCTGAGCTAATAACCATATCGTCTGTCTTGGAACATATGATGGTCAAGGCTGAGATAGCCCCATCAAGTTTGAGTTGACGCTTGATAGCAGTGCTCATGATGTCCTTTGCTGTCTTGTTGTCTGTAGCTCTGTTGATATTAGCCAGAACCCAGACACCGGAACATGTCTTCATGTAGTCCTTGGCGACTGCAGCTCTGGCCGCATCCCAATCTTGGTGGCCAGGCTATCGAACCAAATATCAGTACCTTTGCGTATAGCTGAGGGCCTTTCATATAAAGCTTGACATACCAAATCCACGATTGTCACGCCGTTGGCGAGCACTTCAGCCTTAGCGAAGATCCTAACAACCTTCACTATAGGCCAGAAGGCCCCAATCTCCTCGTCCTTATCTTTAGAATCGATATAGACCTCAATCTTCTCGCGTAGCTTTTGAGAAGTTGGACATCTCAGTGTAATGGTAGTACCAAGGAGGTTGACGACATTCGAGTGATCAACTAGCTGTGCCGATGTGCAGCCAGCCAAGTCTCGAAGGGTCATCGACGGAAATACAGCTTGAATCTTGGCGCCAGCTTTTTTGGCTACGTCACTTTCACTTTCCAGATCTAGGTGGTTCTTCTCCGTTGTGCTATCTGGCTGAAGATCCATAAGCAGAATATCCACCTCCCGGGTCCATTGTTTGCGGGAGATGAACTCAATTTCCGCCCGGTATTTGTTCTCTTCGTCCTCGTCATGGTTGTAGGAGATCTCGGTGGCGACAGCGGTGCAGGCTCGCAAGCAGCTCGTTGGGAGTATCCTACCCATGATCAGCTAAGATACCGTGCAATGAATGTGCAAGATTACTTCTCTTCATCAAGAAGAGCATTGATGATTGAGCTCTTGCCATCACCCGTGTTACCCAGAACACCGATAATGGTCTGACGGGACCGCTCCGATTGATCACGAAGATCGCGGATTTGTTCCAGCCAGTGAGATGCCGCCTTCCTCAAAGCAGGCCGAAGCACGCGAGAGGAAGCCATGGTTTCGCAGAGGGGTTCGAGTTCCTCCAAAATAGGCAGTGCCATGTTGCAAAATGACTGCCAAATATCTGCATCTTCGACTCCTGCCATTTTCTCCAGGTAGGAGAATGTTATCGAATCTCTCTGCCCCGGGCCATCTGATTCAGAGTCTTCAGGGTACTCGCTGCTTGCGGCCTTGATGAAGCTCATCGTTCGAGATAGCCGGAACATAGTTGAAGAGCGTAAGATCGACTTGGAAGTGAAACCACGATGCTGCGGACGAAATTGTGACCTGATCTGGGAGTTAGCTGGGAGCTTAAAATCATGGGAAGGAAGGCAGGGTAGAATGTGCTAAAGTACCTGATGTTGATTTGACGCCAAAAGAAGTAAAGAAGGATCCTCCGGGGACTTGCTAGATTCGCAAGAGAGATGAGTAATTGAGAAGGAGCGATATGCAGAGTCTAGTAAGCTTTGGGTGGGATAAAAAGTGTGTAAAGTTGAGGGAGTATGGAAGCGATGGCTAGATGTGAAGGTTGAAGTGAAAACGAGTGGAGGCAGCGAGATCCAATGCGATTTAAATATCTGGAGGAACCTGAGAGATGCCTTCTGTTTCTAGCAGGTTGGGAAGAAAAGATCAAAGGAAAGCAGGTAGGGATGGTACCTACCCGAAAGAGACAACAAATTTGTAAGCGTTTGAGAGAGAAGGTCGAATCGACTTTCGAGGAAAAATGCCAAAATCTTGGGTAGATGCTGAGGAGATCTGAAACAGAATGTCAAAATTCGGGAGGCCGTCTTCCAGCAGAAGATAGAGCTCAAGTAATAGGAGAGAATTGAGGGCGGCAACAATGAAGATATCTTGGTTCGACGTCGCTTTTCCAGGATATCGAGCGCACAAGTGGGAATAGCCTCAATTCAAAGACGGCAGTTTAGCAAGGTAGCCTCGATTGGCGTCTAATCGGCTCACTGTGCAGTTCAATTTTACTACCGGCGGTCCTTTCCCTTCTCAGGTCCTTCCTATTACGCAGTGCAGGAAGAGGAAGGCGTCAACACATTCACCTCGGTGAAGCGAATCCTTTACCCCACCTTGACCGAGTCCACCGAGATAAGGTACCTTTGCAGGGGAAAGACCTCATATCAGATCTTATCAGATCCTTCCCAGCGCAACCCCACCATGCGAACCCCGCGGTCCGCAATCCGCAGCGACGCAGGCCGAGGCGGGCTGCCCCTCACCAGCAAAGCCGACCATATCCCTCCCTCACACCACCCGAGTCAATAACGACACATTGCAACGACACACGCAGGCGCAAACGGATTTCCTCTGTCGCAAAACATTTTGAGCATACGAGACTGGGCGCAAACGCAAGGATAGAAACATCACAATCATGGCGCAAGTTGCAAAACAAGTAGCAGGCGCAGGGGAGCTCTTCGTCAACGGGCGCATCTTTCTGCACAACGCCGAAGCCGGCCTCGAGACACAACCCACCTTTGCCGAGAGCATGTTCGTCGCCAACGGCATTATTGAGAACATTGGCACAACGGAGGACCTCAAGGCAAGACACACGTCGGGAGAGGTCACCACACATGACTTGGAAGGCAGGACAGTCCTACCGGGCTTCATCGACGGCCACGTGCACCTCCTCCTCCTCGGCCAGTCGCTGCGCAAAGTGAGCCTCGAGAACTGCACATCACTGGAAGAGATCCGCGCCGCCATCAAGGCGTACGCCGTCGCCAACCCGAACGTCCCGCGCATCATGTGCAAGCTGTGGATGCACTCCATGACCCCCGACGGCGTCGACAAGACCATGCTCGACGACATTGACCCCCGACCAATCTTCATCGACACAAAGGACCTCCACTCGACCTGGTGCAACACAGCCGGCATCAAGGAGCTCGGCATCGAGAACATGCCGGACCCGTCAGGAGGCAAGATCCACCGCGACGCCGAGGGCAAAGCGACGGGTCTCCTCAGCGAGGCCGCCGTGCTCACCATCGTGTGGCCTCATCTCGCCCAGGTGGCCCCTAAGAGAGATCGGATGGACGCCATGAAGGATGCCGTGCAGACCTACAACGCATCAGGCTACACAGGACTGATTGAGATGGCCATGGACGAGCCGGCATGGGACGCAGCGTGCTCGCTCCGCGCCGAGGAACCCAACCTGCCCATGCGCATCCACGCCTACTGGCTCATCAAGCCATCCGAATCCGAAGAGGAGCGCTTCAAGCAGGTCGACCGGGCCATCGAACTCCACAACGAGCTGAACAAGGCCACCTCCCCCGACCTGCGCATCGTAGGCATCAAGATCATCACCGACGGCATCATCGACGCTTGCACTGCCCACCTGTCAGAGCCCTATGCCGAGGTGGGTTCCCCCCCGCCCTTCTGGAGCCCCGAGTGGCTCGGCCCCGTGGTCGCGAGGGCAGACGCCGCCGGATTGCAAATCGCCTTGCACGCGATAGGCGACGCAGCCATCAAGAACGCAGTCAACGCCCTCGCCAACCACGCCACGCCTGGCCGCCGCCACCGCCTCGAGCACATTGAGATGGCATCCCCCGAGGACGCAAAGCACCTGGGTGAGCTGGGCCTCACAGCCTCGATCCAGCCTGTCCACGCCGACCCGGCCATCCTCCGCGCCTGGCCGCGCCTCATTGGCGCCCACCGCTGCGAGCGCGCTTTTGCCTACCGCGAATTCGCAGATCACGGCGCGCTGCTCGCACTCGGCAGCGACAGCCCCACGGCCCCCTGGGCGCCGCTGCAGAACGCCTACGTCGCGACGACGCGGCGGTCCGCCAGGGAACCGGGGTACGACGTGGTCGTCAACGAGCACTTTAAGCTGGGCGTGTGCGAGGCCATCACGGCGGGCGCATTCGGAACTGCAAAGAGCGTGTTTGCGGAGGATCGGACGGGTTCTCTGCAGATTGGCAAGCGCGCGGACTTTGTGGTGGCGGAGATGGATTGGACGCCGCAGGGCCTGCTCAAGGGCGAGATCAAGGCCACCTGGTTTGATGGGCGGAGGGTGTGGGCGTCACCCGATGCGTAGGATATTGATCGGGAGGTGGGAACTGCTCTCCTTCCATCCGTTCATGTTGAGAATCAGACTTTTTGTTTGTGCCGCGGTCGCTGCTATTGACTGCTGCATTTCAGTACATACGCCACGTATATGCAGCCGAGAGGCAAAATAACAAAGCCCAGCCAATTGGTGGTGTTCGTGTACAGGTATTTGTCGGCTCCCACATGACATGTTCAGAGATTTGTAAATAAAGGTTCGTGTGTACTTCTTTTCGTGCTGTGCGTTTGCGTGTGTCTGTATGCGAAAGAGAGAACGCAAGTCAGTGTGATTTGTGTGAGTAAGGTTGTAGTCGTGTATGTGAGTGTGTGTGTGTGTGTGTCAGTATGCCAGCCGGCGCAGTATTCTGGGAATAGTTTCATCCCATCTCGTGCGTGTTTCCGGCTCTGCGGCAAGATGGCACTGGCCGCTCTCCTGCCCTCCCCCAATGCCCCAAATCCCCCAATCCCCCAGTCTCTTCTCACACGATGCCCCAATCGGGGAAAGGTTGCAAATCCACACCAACTCGGGACAAAGTCGCGCTGAAGTTCTCCAGGGGTTCTTTGTGAGTGGCTCGGACGTGGGTGAGCACGTCAAGGGTGTTCTCGGGAAGAGAAAGGGGCCTGCCAACAGGCAAATCACCAAAACCCAGACAGGGATCATCCTGTGTGCTTCTGCGTGTCTGTGATATCAGAGATTCCAAAAGAGGCTCTGGCAGCGGATGTCAAAACCCCCATTTCAGCACATGGAGGGTGTGGTGGTGGCCCACTCCTCTCGAGATGCCGAGGGACGTGTCGTTCTCTCTCGTCCCAGATTCTGGATGGAGGTCAGTACAAGAAGACGGTCATGACCCCACGAACTTGGATGGATCGGGCCAACCAACTTTTTTCCTCCATTCAGATATCCTGCTCGACTTTCATCCTTCAATAAAAACACACGGACACCTTCCACCTCCTGTTGTGATCCACCTACTCCAAGAAGAACAACATCTCACAGTCGAAAGGATGCAGCCTCAAATCAGTCTGTCGGCTCTCGCCGCCCTTGTCCCCATGGTTCTGGCCCTGCCTCAACAGCAGCCTCCCCCACCGGGCCCGCCAGCCGCTTGCGCACCAGTCAACATCATCGTAGCCCGCGGCAGTCTCGAGGCGCAGGGTGCCGGTCTGTTGGGCAACATTGCCATGAACGCATCAATGCAGATTCCCGGCTCCGTCATCACGCCATTGGTATACCCGGCACAGCTCGATCCGTATCCGCCCTCCGTGTCGGCTGGTGTCATGAACATGACGACTCTTCTTAACCAGCAAGCGCAGCAGTGCCCCCAGTCGAAGCTCGTCTTGATGGGATACTCCCAGGTATGTGTTGACCGTGAAGTTGATGTGATGACGCTGTGTCTGATATGTTGCAGGGCGCACAAGTGTCGCTGGATACCCTCTGCGGTACCACAGATGGCCCTAACTTCAACACGACCGTTGCTCAGGCACCCATGGTCGGAAGCAAGAGTAAGTCCATCGATCTTCGATGCGGCGTGAGGGTCGTAACCCGATTGCTGACATGGCTCAAAAGTCGCTGCCGTCGTCTTGTTCGGCGACCCAACCTTCATCGCTGGCCAGCCCTTCGCCAAGGGAACCTCAAAGAAGAATGGCGTATGTATTTCAGGCCTCAATCGCATCTCCGTTCCCGTGTGACTGATTATTGCCTCGCAGATCTTCCCTCGTATGGACCTCGGTCCATGCCAGAGTCTGACAAGCAAGTTCGCGTCCTTCTGCGATGACACGGATCTTTTCTGCGCCTCAGGCCAGAACTTGACCGTCCATCTCGGTTACTTCTCAAAGCAGGACTACATCGCCCAGGCATCGTCCTTCATCGTGCAGCAGACCAAGTAACGGTCTCAAGGGATGAAATGGCGATGACAGTATCGAGAACCCGAGAAGCTGGCGACTCGGGGCTTGCTTGTCGATCAGGCCAGGCACCTAGAATGACATTTGGTAGAGACAAGGGGGGGAGGTAATGCTTTTTACGATTCTTGACGATAAACTTCTTTTTACTTTCTCCCGCAGTAGCATTTTCGGTCTGGTCTTGATGATCGACGCATGGCGTTTCGTGGTGGAGGCAAAAAGACACACTAGCCGTAGCGTTTTTTTCTTTCTTCCTGATATCAGCAGAGGCCTTCGAGCCAAAACAACTTGAATAAACGAAAAAGATTAATTCTCAAGAAACTGGAACATATGTCGTCTGTGCTCGTTTCGTCACCGAGGAATGTGGGTCTGCTGCAAAGAAACAGGGTGGGGGTGTCATACCTGTCCACTAGCCGAATGCGGAAGCGAGCCAGTGGTGAGGAACATCTGTGCATCGGTCAGCTTCCCACTCACCTGCGTCTTATCCCACACACCGAGAAAACGCCTTATCTGAGCTGCCTAAGGTACCTCACCTTATCTGGTGATAAGGGGCCATAAACAGCCACAGCCCTGGTGCCTGAGGTGACTTACGACCAGGTACCTTACCTTTAGTCATCAGATGTCTTTCAAATAGATCAAACGCTCACTCAACCGATCGTGCATCAAAATGCCAGGTGTCATGGTTCCCAGAATCAATATACAGACAATTACCCCGTCTCGCGTCGGTATGTCAACGACTTCCTAGTACACAAAGATAAAGTCCTCGTTCTTCAGATCCGTCATGTCCTGCAGACCGTGATCTTCCTCAATCGCACGGTGTTGGTGTTGAGCGTCCTCCTCGATCTCGACCGCCTTGCCCTCTTGCTTATCCTTGTTGCGCATCATCGACTCATCAACAATCAATGTGCTCTTGCCGAGCGCTTCGCGACGCTTAGCGTGCTGGACGTTGAGGTACTTGAGGTAAAGAGGAATCAGGCTGAACAACCCGTCAGTCAACATTGTGCGAGAGGAGGAAGGAGGGAGATGGCTACTTACGCTCCCATGACGGCGACGAGGACAAACATGATGAGGTTGGAAATAAGACCAGGACGGTACACTGGGGCGTCATCAACGGAATACAATAGCGGTCCAATGATGTTGCCCGTGCACATGCCGATGAAAACGACAGCGGATGTGGTCTTCTTCTTGGTGTCGCCGGCGGTGTTCTGTGCCTGCCATGTAAAGATAAGAGGGGTGATGGCAGCTAGCGCAGAGACCTAATTGTTGCAAGTTCAGTACGTTGTGCATCTTATTGTATCATCAACTGTAGCCTTACCAAGTAGTATCCGAACAGCAAAACACCCTTGTGCTCACGCGGTACGGTAAGCATCAGGACGGTACCGATGGCAGGGATGATTGCCACGCCTGCAATGACGATGCCCTTCTTTTGGATCCTAGTGGCGATCCAGCCGCTTCCCATAATGGCGATAATCTGAATGGCTCCAAAGGGAATATTGAACAGAATGGTTGTGAAACTGCTGTATCCAAATGACTGGACAATCAAGTTACCAAAGGTTGAGATGCCACCACTAGCGATGCTGTGGAAAAACGTCAGTATCACAACCCATGTGCAAGTAGACAATGGTTCGAGGAACGTACGAGATAGCAATGATGAGAATGAACCAGCACCACGTCTTCAAGTCCAGGAACGTCTCCCAGACGTGGTCCCAGCGCCAGACTCCAGACTGAATACCCATCTGGTTCGCACGAAGTCTCTCAACGGCGATGACCTTTTCTCTCTCGGTCAGGTACTTGGCTGACATGGGCGAATCGGGCATGAAGATGAGAACAACGGCGGAGTAGGTGACGGTGAGCAAGCCGCAGAACCTATGTCACGGACAAAATTAGCAAGGTATTCCCAGAATCAAAGTTGTCCGCCTCAAGTTTGGTTCAAGAACTTACAAAAAGATGATCTGGTACTTGTAGAGCTTATCGCTGTTGATGTGGCCCAGACCATACGTGAAGAGACTTCCGACAATGAAGGTGACACCGTTCATGGCGTTCCAAGAACTAGTGACCAACGTCTGCTCGCTTCTTCTCCACCATGTCGTCGTAACAGCCAAGCATGACGGCGCAATCATGGCTTCAAAAGAGCCGAGCATGAATCTTAGGCCAAGAAGGGATTTGAAGTCGGTGCACGAAGACATGATGGCCAGCGAAGAGCCCCAGAGGAAGATGGCGGCGGCGATGACTTTCCCGTTGGGGAGTTTAACGAGGATCCAGGCGGCGACGGGTTGCATGACGAGTTGGGCGATGTACAGAATGGAACCGAGCCAGGAGTACTGCTTCCCGACGAGGTGTGCGTCTTCCTTGATGCCGAAGATGGAAACATAGCTTTCGGAGCCGATCCATCAGCGACCCAATTATATCTGGCGGCCTAGATGCAGATTCACTCACCTGAGGGAACTCTTATCCATCTGCTGAAAGAAATACGCCCCGAGAATCAAGGGCAGAATGCGAAAGTTGATCCTCTTCAGAACGGCTTGCTCTTCCTCATACGTGAAAGTCGTGTCACCGCCTCCGTGCTCTGCGAGGAACTTTGCCGCCTTTTCTTGGACCGTGTTCGCCGGTGTCGATGGTTCGGGGACGGGCTCGATCGCGTCGACGGTCGGACCGCCGGCCCGATCCTCAGCCGGAACCTGAGAAGCCATGTTGAATCTCAAAGTCGATCTCGCACGAAGAAAACCCTAACAGATGTCGTTGGAGCTGAGAGCAATCTCGTAGTGCCGCGATACAGACGTCAAGAATATCTATCGGAGAGTGACACTGCAACACCCTGATGGAAAGAAGGAGAGTAGCGGAAACCCAGCGTTGTGGTTCGGACTCGCTCATCTTATCCGTCAAATACCCTCATGCAACAAGCCCCCTTGTCCGCCCTCAATAACCGGTTTCCTCTGAGCCGGACACGAATGGCAAAGCCGAGCGTGGAGGCTCAACATCGATCTACCTTGGCAACACCTGACTCCCGTGTTGCGTATGCCCATCGCGTGGTGTCTGCTGGCCTTCTTTGCTAATACCCGGAGATTAAGTCTGCCCTCCAAGTCGGATGGCACGTTGCCAAGATTGCTTGCCGGGTGCTTGACAGAACCCAAGAGATTCCTCGGAAACACCCCAGTCCAATTCCCAACATTACTTCTCATTGGAGGGAAAACTACAGGCTATTTGCGAAGCCGAGACACCAGGGGTCTCTGTCGAATCAGGTTCCAGCTCAACGCCTGAGGGCCGTCGTTTACCTTACGAGTCGTGCGCAACCCTACCAGGTAAATCCAGGTCTAGTGTAGTTCAAGAGAGTCCGGGGTAACGATCTACGGTTTACGAGCGGGTGGCTGGAATAGCCAAGTTGAGAGGACCAACAAGGGGGTTCCTCTGGGCTGACGTTGCACTTATTCCCACTTCTTCCCCAAACTCTCTCCGCACGCTACTCCCTCCAGACTCCAGTCCTCGGTTTACCCCAGTATCCCCGACATTTCCGACATTTGAGGCGGAGAGCCCCCCCGCGTTCCGCTTCATCCTCTCCCCGCAGTGTGGGGATCGTGAGTGTCGAATGACTGGTTCATGAGTCGGGCATTCAAACCCCCGCGCCCAGAAACGGGTTGCCATTTTGGCTAAATTCGGGCGTTTGGGGTATCTGATCCCGAGTAGGATTCATGCTGGGGCCCGCGATTGCATGAGATCTCGCTGACTTTGAATACCATCTGCCGAAGTCATGACGACTCCGATAACGCGGTATTCTGTTTCTCAATAAACTCGCCGTGCCCATTGCTATTCATCGTCTAGCCAGGGCCTCTGCAGTGCACTTGACCGTGTTTCCTCCTTGCACTGAACATCACTTTACTCGACCACCTTGAAGCCATCGAAACAAGACGAGTACACAGCCAACCTTCAAAATGGGAGAGACAACGCAAAAGAAGCGCTATGCCATCGTCGGCACCGGAGGCCGATCGGGCTTTTTTTACACGGCTATTGCAAAAGACTACAGCAGCACTTCGGTCATCGTCGGTCTCTGCGACACAAACCAGACGCGCATGAACTATGCCAACTCGAGATTGAAAGACCTCGGCCACGGCGAGGTCCCAACCTACATCGCGGCCAACTTTGACCAGATGATCAAAGACACCAAGCCGGACGAGGTCATTGTCACAACCATGGACCGTACACATAACATCTACATCGTCAGAGCAATGGAGCTAGGCTGCAACGTCGTCACCGAGAAGCCAATGACCATCGACGCGCCGCGGTGCAGGGAGATCTTTTCGGCAGTCGAACGAACAGGCCAGAAGGTGCGCGTAACGTTCAATTATCGCTACGCGCCACACAACACAAAGATCTTTGAGATTATCAAGTCAGGCGCCATCGGCAAGGTGACAAGCGTGCACTTTGAGTGGATGCTCAACGAGAATCACGGCGCCGACTACTTCCGCCGCTGGCACCGCGACAAGCGCAACTCGGGCGGCCTCCTCGTGCATAAGTCGACGCACCACTTTGACCTGGTCAACTTTTGGCTTCAGACGAGACCGCAGACGGTGTACGCCCAGGGCGACCTCAAGTTCTACGGACGAGAGAACGCCGAGGCGAGGGGAGTGACGAAGTTTTATACCAGGGCGCACGGCAGCGAGGCGGCAAAGGACGACCCGTTTGCACTGCAATTGGACCAGAACCCGCAACTCAAGGCCATGTACCTCGATGCAGAGCACGAGGATAGCTACTACAGAGACCAGAGCGTGTTTGGTGACGGTATCAGTATCGAAGACACGATGAACCTGCTCATCCGGTACCGCAACGGTGCGGTGATGACATACTCCCTCACAGCATACGCACCGTGGGAGGGCTTCCGCGTCAACTTCAACGGTACGGGTGGTCGTCTCGAGGTCGAGGTCGTGGAGAAGAGTTACGTGAACTCTGGAGGTAGTCAGGCTTTAGAAGGCGCGATTGAGAAACGGACGATGTTGCTTAGGCCGCTTTTCGGACCTCCTCAGGAGATCGATCTCGGTGAGGCCAAGGGTGCTCACGGCGGTGGAGATCTCGTTCTTCTTGCGGATCTGTTCGGTGAGCCTGTGTCTGACGAGTACATGCGGGCAGCTAGTCACATTGATGGTGCCGCGTCGATCTTGACTGGTATTGCTGCCAACCGGTCACTGGCAACCGGACAAGCTGTCAATGTGGATGATATTCTGGTGGTGCCCGAGAAATAAGGAAATAACTCAATCTGATGATACTTATGCAATGCAGTAGGATAGAATGAATAACAGATAGATACATATATGAGCAACGACACCTCCTCTTCATCACAATGTCATCTCAGGTACAGGCAAGGACAAGATTGATGAACAGCCTACATGAAACATTCAGCATGGAGTATCAACCCTATGCAACAACACTCTGAAAGTAGGCATTCTACGCTAACTCACACTCTATCAAACTTTCAACACCATTGCCGCCACCATAGATACCCAAGATACTCAGACCAGCCTTCTCTAGGAGACTCTGCCACTCCACCCGCGTACGCTCCTTGCTACTGACTAGCGTCAACATCATGATATCTTGTCCAGTGTTCTGCCAGTCGGCACCGATGTCGGGAATGCAATTCTCATTGACCAACAACCTGCTGTATCCAGGCTTCATCGCAGCTGTAGTCCGCACAAGAATCTCTTCGCACTTTTTATCCGGCCAGTCATGGAGGACCGAATGCATGTAGTAGGCTCGGGCACCTGAGCGCGGGGCGGATTAGTCCTGGATGTCTTGTACAGCAGACAAGGTGGGCGTTATTACCTTTGATCGGTTGTTCAGTGAAAAAGTCATGTCCCATCCTCTCAATCTTATCGTCGAGCTTCTCAATCTGATTGATAACAGTTGGAAGATCCTGGACCACAAGCCTACCAGGGGCGTCGGGATGCTTCCTCCTAAACTCATCAATGTCATGACCAAAGCTTCCACCGACGTCAACAAGGAGCACGTTGTCTTGAGAGTCGTCAAAGCCGTCGACCAATCGTTCTTTCATGGGGTAAATGCCTTCATCCATCCAGCTTGGTCGGCCTTGGCGGTATGCGCCCATGTGCTGTGCGAATTGCATCTCGTAAGGGTGGTTTGCTGCGAGCCAGCTGAAGCAGTCGAGTTTGGTGTTGTATCCATATTGTAGAGGTCCGTTGAAGACATCGTGGGGTTCGCGGTAGTCGGTTTTCTTGGCGAACTCGTGGAATTTGGCTAGGGACTCCATGCAGGCTCCGGCACTGGGTGTTGATGATGGTCAGCTTACACCTCAGAAATATGGGAATGCATGCGCGAAGAAATACGGGCTTTCTTTTGAGTGATGTGGATTAGATGATCGGAAAGTAGACTTGACTTACACGCAGGGGTAGCCAGCGCCCATGCTTGTGATTGTGAGCGCATCCGAGAAGTTTGTTGACTTGTATTCGTCTGGTCCGGTCTCAGTGATGTAAAGCATTGCGCCGAGATGTCTCATTATACGTCCTGGATTCAGAGGAGGGGAGTAAGTAGAGATTCCATCAAGAAGGATCGTCTTGCAGCAAATGACACACCCAACAACGCTGGATCGTGTCCAAGCTTTAGAGCGAGGTCAGACACATTCTGAGGCTCTTTGCTCTTTGATAACAAAGCGAAGAGGCCGGAGGCAACCGCGTATGTAAGAGCTGTGAAAGCAGCTGGCTGATGGGCAATTTTTAGCGAGTGCATTGCAAGTCAAGAAGGAGGCCGCCTCACCTGCGCCCAGCAGTGCTTGATCATCGTCTCGCGTGGTGTCTCCAATGCATGTACCAACAAGCGAGCGCTCTGCACCATGCTGAGGCGTGCGGTGTCATCACCTTCAGCAACTACGCTAGTGAGATTGGCAATGTTCATCACATGTTTATTCACACTTGAAAGGTCGCACGCGGCCAAAGCAACAGATATGTCAACCTCGCGGGGTATCTCGCTCGGGATAGAGCCCATGATGTCCAAATATGCAGGGTAATGGGCTTAAAGACCCAAATGAGGATGAAATAGAGAGGATAGTAGAGGAAGAAACCGAGAGGTGGAAAGATTCAAGGAATCGAAGAAGAGTAGGGGGCTAAAGGGGCAAGAGCAAGTTTCCCTGGAGGCACTTGTTGGTCATATAGATATATGGAGTACAAATCATCCAGCACACCAAACTGAGGAGGCACCTTCCAGTTGTAGCCAGTCCGTACGAGAGGACGACATTGGTCTGGAACCATGTGGAGATGCAGGGCACAACATATGAATTGATTGAAGTCCCACACGGCACAGCGGCGATGAAGAGCCAATTCAATATGGGTTCGCGACAGGCTGTGCGCGCAAGTATCCGAAACCCCATCTCACTTTCAACGTTTTACGAATCAGGTATACGTAGCACGTACTTTCAGCGGGTGTCTGAGATACGTCCAGTGAGTTTCCAGACAATATGTCCATAATTGGTTGATACTCCGTCCCCAGCACCAGGTATGAAGGACCCATAGGCGTACGTATGTTTGTTGGATGGTCGTGTTCTTAACCCTGTTCCAACGTCGAGCAAACTCCGAACCCCAATATTTACCTGATTTACGTTTAGAATCGAACAAAAGTGATGCATGGAAACGTCCGGGCCCATGAGACTACCGGAGAGAAGCGAACAAGGAGGAAACGGCGATTCCCTCGACTTAGACTTGTGATCCGCGCATCGGAAGATTGATTCACTGAATTTGTTGCGCAAGTCATCTATGAGGACTTCCGTCGGGCACAACAGGCAGTAGCTGTTGTTGTTTCCTGTTGGTTCTGGAGTCTGTCAACGCGAGGGCCTGATTGGTAACGAATACCATGCCAGGTGGAGAGGAATGAGGGACTCCTGGACCGTTCGGCGGGGCCGCTGGATGCTCTGCACCAAGACCGGGCCGAGATTGCGCAACAAACAGCCCACAATACCTCTTGGGTTGATGTCCAACCAACACGATGTCTTTCTTCCAAGCAGAATCTTTTGGTTGAAAGAGGCAATCAATAGCGGAAACGGGAGTACCCACAGCAGATGGATGGCAAACTGACCACCAGTATCGTAGTCTCGACCTCGACAATTGGAGAGAGCCAGGGGTTTGCTGAATCTGACTGTTGGATCGTTGTTGGGATTGCTGGTATATTTTCTTGCTGCCTTCCTCTTTTCGATTTCTATTCAAGGGTGTACGGACCGGCTCAGGAGAGAGTACTTGCGTCTGCATGAGGCAATGGGCCTGGCCACCGGGTTCCCCTTAATTAACATTCTTCCAACGGCGGCACGACGCTCTGCGAGCCTGAGCCGATTGCTTCTTGGCGCATACCACCGCAGGACCTCTTTAGCGGAGACTTTAGGCATTGACATTTGTGTCTCGCTTCCAAAGCAGAATTCCATTTCAAACTGAATGAGTCTGAATCCCACGTTTGGAGGCACTGGGACGTTTCGAGTTCATCTTTTGGCCGCAAAACCATCTCAGTTCTGCAATATGACAAGTCATGGTTTGACTACGATCTCCTACTCCACAGACAACAAAGGACCTGGAATCATTGTTGCGATATGCATCATTGTCGGCATCAGCACCTTCTTCGTCGCTATGCGGCTGTTTGTTCGCATTAAGATCCTTGGACGAACTCATCTTGATGACTACCTCACCATTCTATCTCTGGTTTGTTGAATCCCTCCCCAGAAGCAATGTCTGAATCCTGAAGGTGACCAAAATGTTGGCTGACATATTTCTACTTAAATAGCTTCTCAGCTACGCGACGATAGCTCTGGAAATTTGGGCCATTCGATGCGGTAATGGTCGGCATGCCGACACCCTTTCACAAGAACAACAATCCGCGGCAGTCCTGTCTACGATATCAGGATTTCCTCCAAACGTCCTTGCATACACTGTCCCGAAGTTCGCCGTCGTGGCACTTCTCGTAAGGATATTGAATCCAGGAAGGATGCATCAAGTAATGCTGTGGGGCATGGCCATCGGGTGTCTGGTGCTTGTGTCCCTCTGCATCATCATACTCTTTGCTCAATGCACCCCTACTCGCGCTCAATGAGACTTCACAGTAACTGAAAAGAGCTGTTGGAGTCCGTTAGTTCTTGTAAATGTTGCTATCTTGACAGGAGGTAAGTTTTGGTCCACTTTACAAGGCGTTCCACGTGATTTTTGCTTACTACATCATGCCCCAGCATATTCCGCTGCGCTTGATTTATACCTCGCAGTTTATCCTGCCACAGTCTTGATGAGACTTCAGATGAATATCAAGAAAAAAATCATCCTCAGCACTGCCCTTGGGATTGGATCGATGTATGAAGCCGAAGTCGAACGGGCCTATTTTCCGTTATAACATGTCTGACTGGACCTGCAGCTCTTGTTTCATCTCCATTTACAAAAGTACAAGACTACCGTCTCTAGCAAGCAAAGACTTCACGTGTAAGAGAAACGTCCCCAGCATCCGTGTGTCAACTAACAATCGGAAAGACGACAGTGCGGAGCTTGTTGTATGGACCATGTGAGTGCCGAACAAATTTGGCCGGTCAACCAAATACGCCTAGCTAACAATTTTGGTAGTATTGAGGGCAATACTTTAATCATCGCCGCCTGTATACCCATTCTCGGGCCTCTCGTAGAACTGGCTCTTGGGCGACGCGTTCTTAGTTCAACAGACCGAAAGTATCAGAAGCAAAGCGACCCTGTGAGATTACAATCAGGCGAAATTGAGATGAACGCATCTCGGGCATTGACAAGGAACGGATATGTCGTCGGCAAGACATTGACAACTATAGGTTCACGAATTGACATGGAAGATGCAAGTAGTCAAGACAGCATTGTCGGGACGGAAAATGGACCGAGCTCTAGAGTTGCAGGGATAATGAGGAGACAGGAGATCAAGGTGTCTTATGAGAGCGAAGACGCGGGACGTGAACAGGAGCATAAAGGCAACCTGGAGTCTCGAAAATGGGATTCATTCTAGCACTTCGAGCTACTAAACAGTGTGGCCAAAAAAAGAATTTGGGCTCAAGGATATCTGGGCCTTTTCCCTTCTAATTCCCCGATCTGGCGAGAGGGTATGCATTCTTCGATTGAAAGTACGGTCATAAATCTTAGAGCTTTTGCCTAATGGCCCTGCCCGAAAAAGGGGGGATAGTTCTGATAACTCGCCGTCGTGAAGGTTCATAGATGCAAAGGTTAACTAAGTGCATGACATGATAGTTACCAATGTTGAGTACGCCAAGACAACTTAGGGTTTTGTGAGTTGGAAAGACTATGTATGCTAACAAACGAAAACTGGCCGGTTCGGCTTTTTGACGTGCCGGCGGCATCTTATAATTGCCCAAATTCGGCGTTTCTGAAAGACCGACCGAACCCTTCAACACGATTCACGAAGGCAACACGAAGGCAACGACCGTCTAGGGTGATTCGGGCATCACGTCAATCAAACCTTCGATACTTGTCTGTCTGCCTAAGTGACAAGCGAGACTAACATCAAATTGACTAAATATATTGAGATCAATTAATTTAGAGTGTGCAACCTCCTACGATGCGGAACGCCGGGACATTGTCATTTGACATAAATAGAGGCATTGTCCCAACGAATTATTGCCCCTCTACAATCAGTATCAGCGCAGTTTTCATCAGACTTTACCAAGAAGACCAACATTTGAAGTGAGTGGAATCGTAACCAGAAGTCGCCCACCATTCGGATTTTAGTGTTACTGACCAATATCACAGTACCAAACCATATCACCAGTATCCTCTTCACTATGAAGTTCTTCTCGCCCTTTAGTTTCTTTCTCTTAGCAGGTGCTGCGAACGTACGTCTTCGTGTTTGTTGAAATTGAAAAGCTTCACTATTAAAGTGTCCATGAAAGCATTCATGTTTTCGTTATCTCAAAGGCGGACAAGCGCTGACCTCCATTCCTCATCCAGGCGCAATATCGGTGTTATTGCACTGGGTCTGGTGGTCCAAACCCTGACACTTTCTCCAACACTTGCTGCGTGACGGGTGATGGTGTCACTTTCCCGGACGGCAAAGACCGGAAAGGTACTTGGCTGAACAACGGCGGGCTCTGCGAGTTCAAGGGGCTGTCTTTTACCCAGAATCAATTCATCTCCTCCTACGCAGCTTGCTGCAGAAGCACCGGCCCCCAGACCGGGAACAAGTACGGGGGTAACTGCTTCAAGCCCTAGTGCAGCTAGACCACCTGACCAGTAGGCTGGAAGATGGCACTGAGAAGAGTATGTCGGAAGGGCTTAACAATAGGAGTATTTAGAAATTGTACATCAATTATCGCCCTCGAAGCTGGTACTAGACTATCTACATCAGTCATAATGCCATACGTTGTGTCTGGCTGCTAAGGCTTGAGAGTCCATTCCCTTGATATCCCAATTTATT